CTTGGTCCATATGACATTGGCCCTACTAATATATTCGCTTGTGTGAAATTTGAATACCATAGCTTTTATAGTTTCTAATATAGCCAAATAAATTTTGAAGCTGTATGGCAGCTACCCGAACCAGTACCCCAATCATGTCCAATTTAAATAGGGTTCCGGCACGTACTACAATAAATCATTTGTGAAAATTTGGTAAACTTAGCTCAATTAGTTTTTGAGTTATCGCTGGGACGCTGATCAAAAACATATACTTGAGTCTATATCTCTGACCATTATTTCTTGGCGTTACAAACGATAAGGCAAATTTAGTATACCCTTCGAACATACGTTCGTACGGGTATAATAAACTAAAATGAAAAATTAAAATTTCACAATTACAATTTGCAGCTAACTAAAAACTGGTGTGATTTTTTCCTTTGTAGCAATTTTTAAACAAAATTGTAAAAAAGATGATTATTAACCTTTTAGTTGTAACCTCCTAAATTCCTAAAAAATCATTTTTTAGGTTCAAGCTTCAAATTCCAAAAACGCAAGAAAGAGACGTACTTCTTTTATCTCGAAACTGAATAGTTAAACATTACAATAAGAGAACCGCTGCTGAAATTAACCGTACCTTACATTCTTTTTTTCAAATTTCCAACATCGTTCTCCAATGTTGCAGAAGTCTAAAATTTTAATATTTTGTGTTTTTGCACTATATACCTTTCAAGTCATCCCTTCTGAAAGTTAGCAAAATATAAATTTTTCAAATAATGAATGCTTTGTCAAATTTTTATGAAAACAAAAAGTTAACGGTAAAGGCCTTTTCATTAAAAAATACAGTTATTTATATACTTGCCTAATTAACTGTTAAATTTGATCATTGTGTTAACATTTTTTTAATTTTTAATTTTCATTAAATAAATTAAGTAAACGATTGTCAAGTATTTTCAATTGTTCAAAAGAAAAAGTTCAAGTAATCCTCACAAACCGCTTCTTCTACTTGGAGCTCTTTAACAAACTATTAAAATTTAAGTACCTTAAATTGGCAAATTTTTGGTCTTTTGGAAAAATTTTGTGGAGATTCTTGCTAGATTTCTTACTCCTGTAATTTTAAATTTGATTTGATTTTAAATTTTCAAAATAATTAATTATTACTGTAAAAAAAAAACGAATGTAACTTTTTTGCGCATATACACATATAAGTACATTATATATGTATGCAGATTTGTAACAAAATTAATGAAAATATTTTATTTTCTTTTTATTTAATTTAAATAATGGATTAAAATATATAGCCTGTTTTATTCAGATTTATATTTCGAATAATTCCGACTTTATAAAACTCTAAAATTTTCTAAGTATATATATGTACTTATACATTAACTTTAATAATTTGCCAGATTTTGTATGATTCTAGCATCTGCTAACTACTCACGTGTATGAAAATTTATTATAGTAATATATTTGAACGTCGTAAATTATTTGAACTCAAAAATTTTGACTACAAATTTGCAGAATACAAATTTCCATACGAAAATTTGAACTCGACTTAAACAGGATAAGGCATTAAGCAAAGCTTAAAATAGTTTTTTAATAGTAAAAGTGCAACGTAAACTTATTCGAATTCGAAATTATACTTTACATCCAATATATATTAATTTTCAAAAAAAATCACTAGAACACCCATACAGGAAACACGTGTGCATTCACTCATACATATATTATGTTGCTGTTGTATATTGAATTATTTAATCAAATATTACATATTCCATACTAAATTTAGCTAGCGATCTTTATCTAAATAAATTGTAAATAATGTACTTAGCCATATGAAAACGTTTAAATATTTTTAAATATTTGTATACAAAACGTTTTTGTATACAAATATTTAAAATAAAATTACATAAAATTTGTAATCCATCCAATTTTTATAAGGTGAGAATAAAAAAGCTTACGCCAACTATATAAGCAAAACAACATGAGCAAACAAACATTTCTAATTTCAAGTTTATTAGTCATATCAATGACGTAAGCCTATCAAAATTTATTATGTGTTTGTTCAACTTTTTAACTGCAACATTACCGCTTAAATATTTATTGCAATTGTGCGAAAAAATATAGATACATGCATTTATGGATCCATGAATGATTTAGCAATTTATTGCGATTCTAAAAGAGTGAAAGGATTTCATATGGTAGACAGTGTGGAAAGGTAAAGTGTAAAACTTTCAACACGTTAACTTCTTCACACCGGTTAAAGCTTCCGAATGCTTAATACGAACTAATAATAATTTCCATCTGTTCACAAAAAAGTGCATAAGAAAAAACTTCAAAAAACTCAGAAAAATTAAAAAATTAGAATACTCTTTGAAACAGGGTTTTCTTCTAAAAATTCTTGCAGATTAAGTTTTTATTTATAGAAATTCATAAAAAATTCAATTATCTTTATTTTCTTTGTGTTTTTTACTGCTCGCATTATATACAATAATTTCCAACGTCACATTACATACAATAAAGAAAGTATATTATATTATGACGGCAGTATAGTACTTGTTTCTACATTTCGAAACTAATTGACAAATTTTTCGGGGAATTTGCATCACAGGTAATGAGCTTCTTCTTGGAAGAGAATTTTCATTATTTTTTAAAATATTAACCAACAGCCCATTAGCCTTCTTGGAATTCGAAAAGTTGTCTATTGATTTACATAATCTTATGGAATTACTTTCACTTAATTGGAATATTTACTTTACGGTATGTTATGTCCTGTTGTTTCTTTTATAAAAATTAATTTATATATCTATTAATTATCTAGATCGCACAGAAATAAAAATACAAGCGAATATAAGAGGATTAACAGAATTATTCGTATCAAAATCAGGCAGGCTAAGATCACATGGCTACAGCAAGAATGTGGAGAAATAGAAAGATTGCAGCACCAAAATGATGCGTTCAACATGCACAAAAAACTAAAAGAAACAGCGGGGATCTATAAGAAAAAACAAGTAGCTGTACTAGTAAATGATGAGGGACGTATCATGATCACGCCAGATGAAAGAAGAAAAACCTGGGAGGAATATATTCAAGAGCTGTTTTCTGATGCTAGTCGAGCGGAAGTCGTAGAAAATAACTCATCAATTCAACTTTCGGGCCCACCTATTACTAAGGATGAAATACGTCAAGCCATCAACTCATCTAAAAATAATAAAGCTGTAGGTCCAGATGAAGTACCCGCCGAACTATTGAAGCTAATTAATGACAACAACATCAAAATATTGGAGAAAATATTCAACAACATTTACAACACCGCAATTTTTCCAGAAGACTGGCTCAAATCTACTTTTATTGCTCTACCGAAGAAAAATAATGCTCGTAAATGTAAAGATCACAGACTTATTAGTCTTATGAGTCATACTTTGAAGGTCTTTCTCAGAATTATCCATAATCGACTATACAGGAAATGCGAAGAAGCAATGGGACGATCCCAATTTGGATTTAAATCAGCATTAGGCACACGTGAGGCTCTATTTGCGATCCAGGTACTCGTCCAGAATTGCAAAGATGTACAAAAAGATGTATTTCTAGGGTTTATCGACTATGAAAAGGCTTTCGATAGAGTTCAGCACAACAAACTAATAGAGATTCTCGAAAACATGGGTTTAGATGGCAAAGATATACAGTGCATTAGAAATATATATTGGCAACAAACTGCAAAAGTAAAATATGGAGATATAACCACAACGGATCTTCACATTCACAGGGGTGTTCGCCAAGGATGCATTCTATCACCACTGCTATTTAATATCTATTCAGAAAAAATATTTCAAGAATCAATAGCTGAAGAAAATAGAGGAATAAAAGTCAACGGCACATTTATTAACAATATTCGATACGCCGACGATACCACTATAATTGCAGACAGTATCGAAGATTTACAACACCTAATGAACAAGGTAAATCATCACAGCAAAAAATTTGGTTTAAACATGAACAACAAAAAAACCAAATACATGATTGTAACTAAACACAACATACCATATACGAACGCTTCCATCTACATCGACAATGAACCCATAGAACGTGTAAACAACTTCATATATCTCGGATCGATGTTACACGAAGGCTGGGATTCTGAAAAAGAAATAAAACGTCGTATAGAAATAGCGAGGGGCGCCTTTTTGAATTATCAAAAAGTATTGACCAATCGAAGTATTAACATCGAACTGAGATTGCGTTTTATAAGATGCTACATATGGTCAGTTCTCATGTACGGTGCTGAAACATGGACTCTGAAAGTATCAAGCATGAACAAAATTGAAGCATTTGAAATGTGGGTATACAGGCGCATGCTAAAAATATCGTGGACAGAAAGAGTCTCAAATTTTGAAGTATTGAACAGACTAAGGAAACAAAGAGAACTACTGCTGACAATCAAAAAACAAAAAGCCGCATATTTTGGTCATGTAATTAGGGGCCAGAAATACGAACTTCTGCAATTAATTATCCAAGGAAGAATTGAAGGCAAACGAGGAGTGGGAAGAAAGCAAATGTCCTGGTTACGAAATATTAGAAACTGGACAAATATAAGAACAATTGGAAATTTAGTTCATATAGCATCAAATCGTGAGGAGTACGCTAATATTGTTGCCAGCATTCGCTAACTCATCAAAGGTACACGCTTACATCCAGCAGTGGATATGCAGCAGAAGAAGAAGATTAATTAATCTTTAAATCAAAATACGATAATGTTTATGTATATTTAGTATGCATTTACAAATTAACGTTATTTTTTACTTTCATTGCTCTATACGTACAAGATACAAAAATTAAAACTAGGAAAAAATCGAAAAATCGAAAATATTTTAGAAATTAGATTTAAGTTATTTTAAAATTATATATTTTCCATATAACTATAAATATCTAATGTATATATCTATCTAATAATATGTATCTATCTAATAATATGTCGAATCTTTCTTGTTACTTTTATAACTTTTTCTAATTTTCTATCGTTACAGCACAATGGTTTGTTTATGTGAAATGATTGGATTGGCGTGTTTTGTTGCCTTAGTTTTTAGTTTTTCATCAAAAGCACCATATCAGCTGAAAATGACAGCTTTCTTCTTCGGTTCCGGAATATTAGTTTTAATATGGTTGCCATTTATGATATTTCGACCAAAGGATTACCGTAATGCATTGTAAGTAAAAACGAAATATTCTCTTGCATTTAAATATTTGAAATTTCCTTTTTGAAAATGCATTTTTTATTTACACATACATATGTATATATCAGAGTTCCTGCTTGGGGTTGTAGAATGCTTGGTCAAGCTATAGGTATAACAATGGAAGTTCGCGGTCTTGAAAACGTTCGTAAAGAACATGGTAGTATAGTATTAATGAATCATCAAAGCGCCTTAGATCTCATAGGTGCGTATATAATATCTTAATAATTATACACAAATTAATATAGCAAGATTAATATTAACTACATAATATATTGTTTTTATTCATACAAATATACAAACCTATTAAAAATTATAAATATTTTAAACTCTGTTTTTGTTTTTAGTTTTAGCATATTTATGGCCTGTGATTGGACGAGCAACTGTTGTATCAAAACGTGAAATACTATACATCCCATTTTTTGGTATTGGAGCATGGCTATGGGGAACTCTGTTTATCAATCGCTCTAAAAGCAGTGACTCCATAAAATCACTTAATAAGCAATCAAAAGCAATTCATGAAAGAAACTGCAAATTGTTGCTTTTTCCAGAAGGTACTCGTAATTCAAATAAAGATAAGTTATTACCATTTAAGAAAGGATCCTTCCATATTGCTACACAAAATCAATGCCCTATACAACCAGTTGTAATTTCACATTATTACTTTTTAAATAGTTCCAAAAAAATATTCAAAAAAGGTCATGCTATTATTCATATTTTACCAGAAATTGAATCAAAAGGATATGACAAGGATAATATAAATGTTTTAGTAGACGATTGTCAAAATATAATGCAACAAGAATACACGAGACTAACTCAAGAATCAAAACTTATAAAAAATAAAAAAACTTATTAGTTTCAAAGAATTAATAAAAAAAATTATATTAATTACATTTGTAATTCCAAAAGTGGAAGTTAGAGTTATAATATTTATGTATGTGTATAATATAACATATATAAAAAAATATGTATTTATTACAATATATATGAAAATTATAAGAATAAATCAATTGGTTATTTTTTAGCAAAGTAAAATATATTAAAATTGTACATTGAAAAGCGAATAACATTTTATTGTATCCCCTTCGCTTCAACTTGTAGATCATCAAAAGCTTTAAGAGCCGTGAAATTTTTTGATTATTGCGTCGAAACCAAATGAAATATGTAAATTCCGTAAAGCAAGCGCAAGGTTGTCGGTACCATTCAAATTAAACGTAATATGAAACCGTTTTATTGCCAAATTACTGTTCCGTATTGGTTTTCGACAATATGAGCTTTCTAGACACATCCATAAAAGCCAAAAAGTAACGCTAGTAATCCTCTTTTCCAAAGTATAGTTTTATATATCACAGATAGTACCAGGGCCCTATTGCACCAAATACTTATCATTTATCAATTTATAAAGATAAGTTTTTTGTGAATAAGATAGGTTTGTAAGTGTTGCACCGAAATTTTACAAATTCCACCCACTAAGCAACTTTGCAATTTATCATTTTTTGATAAGTAAAAATGATAAGTGTTGCACCAAAAAATTGCAAGCTTACCGAACGTAGCTTAATTTTCATAATTTGATAACAACTTATCATTACAGTTTTACTTCTTATTGAATTCAGTTGTCATAAAAATATCATAATTTAAAATTAATTTTGTCTTAAAAAAAAATAAAACGAAAAAATTCAAATAAAAGGAAAAAAAAATGCCGTTTTGCAAATAATTAAAAAAGTAAAGTAAGTACTTACCTAAAATCAGTCTTATATTTATTTGTAAAGAATATACAAGTGCAAAATATTTTGGGGACATATTATTTGGATCATTCTAAAACAACGCCACCAGTAAAGTAGAAAAGGCTAAACCGGACAAAGATTGGTACTATGCTCGAGACCATCTTATTAGTCTTTGTAAAAGACTAACTTTAGTAATAATATTTGAAATTTTTCATTGTTATCTTAAAATAATACATATTTTTATAATAATTTATAGGCGAAAAGATATAATTCGAAAAAAAAGACACAGGCGGAGCGAAAACAGTTTTGTTGGATGAGGTAGATGAAGCTATCTTAGAAATTATTTTTAACACCGCAGTGGTTACTGGACTTCAGCTTTTTGAGTCGGATGGAGTTCAACCAGCGGAAGCATGTAGTTTCATAAGACATGGAGTTCAATATCTCATCAACAACTTTATGTGTTGTTCTAGATACGTTGATTTATGTAGACCATGAATGTTGCCTACAGCATGATATGCTTAATTGTAACACGTGATAAAGGAAAATTTTCTAACGTATTACAATCACGTTCATAATTTATGTTTGGTCTTATTCTATGTTCAGATGCTTGTACTGTGCCTTCTTCTACAAAAAGTCTTTCGAACCTATTCATATTTTAAATCAAATTAAAATTTTAAATTAAAAATGTATTTATCGCATTTCTAAACTTTATCCAAAACTCAATAAGAATTTTATTTTTAAAGTACTTATTGCCTTAATTTCTCTATCAAGAATGACTCTTGACTTAACTTTATCTTGAACCTTATAACAGAAAGTTAATTTACCTATAACATATAATGTACTAACATGTAATGTACCGTACCTATAATATATACATACATACATGTTATAGGCAATGTGGCGCACATTGATTAATATTCATGTCCGATTTCATAATGTAGCCTAATTATTTACGTATATGTCCTTATAACCTCATTTTTTTAAAGCTAAAAATATTATTTGGTATAATAATTAGTTTCAGTTGCCTTGAATTTTGCTTTACGTTTTCAAATATATAATTTTCAAATAATACTATCATAGAGAAGATATGTATACTAATTCATTAGCGAAACTTTCCAGGGTTTAAAACCTCTGTTTGTGTATCATAATACCTTTCAGGCATGTTAATCCATACTAATACGGTTCTGCTGCTGAAGTAAAAAACAGTTACTCTGGTTGATTTTATAGACATGATATAAACATTTCAAGAATATGCCATATGAATCAATCACGAGGGCCTCTAGTTATTAATGAGCTGGTTTACAAATTACTCCTACGTATGCTCGAGAAATGTTTTTTCTTGTTATTCAATGACAAGCGAGAAAAACGCTAGACCCCTAGGCTTTTTCTCAGAGAAGAGTCTTTATCTCTTAATGGCGTGCTGTGCCTCCTGGCTTTCTTATATTCGCCTCTGATAAGTTATTGGAATTCAATTAAACTGAAATCCAGTGAAAAAATAATACTATATCAACAAGGAAAATTGGTTTCATTAGATTCACTAAATTTTAAAAATTTTGTATAACACATTACTGATCACAAATGTAACAGAGGTTATTCCTTTTTATAAATTAAACTAAACTAGGTACTTAAATGAACGGCATTAAATTACTATTTTTGGGTTAGTTCGACCAAGATTGAACTACAGCAATTATCAAAAACTATTATTAATAGCAGAACTTTGTGAAAGAGGTTTTGGAAAAACTCCTTTGAACCATATAATTTTATTTTACATTTTGAAAGTTTGTTAAGAAAAAATTTTTTAAACACTATTAATAGTAAACACCTTAAGAAAACTCTATTCAAACAATTATTAATTTCGCAACATCGCTTACCAACGAAGTCGTTTAGAAAAAAAAGAACAGAAATCAGCAGATTTTTACTCAAGGTGAAACTCTGACTTACATCAGATAATTTAAGTCTGACATTTAAACAGTCATTCGATATCTAATAGTATCAAATACTTTATAGATACTTCTATCAAAGAACGCTGTTCAGAAAAATTTAATTAAAAATAAATTAAGCAAACTCATGTACATATGTATGTATGTACATATGTAAACTTATGAATGCAATAAAAAAATAACGTAATATGAACATAATATGTACATATGTATATAAATCCTTTTTAAAAGAATTTTATAAAGAATGTTTCTTTGCTTTGCAGCCCGGGGTGGGCCAATGCATCCTCTGCAGTACGATGCCAATCGGATCTGTTGTGAGCGAGCGAGTATATTGAGCCACTCCCATTTTTAATAAATCTTCCTCCACGGAGCTTAACCATTTTTTTTCGGGAGCCCACGATTTCTTCTGCTTATCTTTGAAGATCTTTTCCACGACTGCCTCATCTGGCATGACTTAGCCATCTTATTCTTTGGGCATTGACAATTATTCTTACGTTACAGCTCTGGATTAGTTGATCAAGTTCGCGATTAAATCTTATACGATACGATAGCCATCTTATTCTTTGGGCATTGACAATTATTCTTATGTTACAGCTCTGGATTAGTTGATCAAGTTCGCGATTAAATCTTATACGATATCTTCCATCATTTTCCTGTACTGACCCGTATGTTTTTCTTAAAATTTTTCTCTCAAGGATTGCTAGTTGATTGGCTTTATTCGTTTTTAAATTCCAAGCTTCGCAACCAAATTTCAGTACGGGTCTTTTTTAAAGTTTTGTAAATTTCAACTTCACATTTCTCTAAAAGAGGCTTGATTTGTGCCGCTTTATATTTGCGTAGACGGTTTGCTGCCATAATTCTTTTTTTTTTTGCGACTTCTGTGTCTTTATATTTATCAAATTTTACAGTTAGGTAAGTGAAATTTTCAACTGACTTAAAACTGTAGTCACCTATTGTAATATTGTTGCTACTGTGTGGTGAATTGGTTAATGTTCAGACCTATGTTTCTTCATAAACTTTCCTTGTCCACAAATATTTGTTTTGAATCACTTACATTTTTGGCCAAGATTAGAACTTCGTCAGCGTAAGCATAAATTCATACCGATTTATTTAATATGGTGCCTACGGGGTCAATTTCTTTGATGATATAGTTTAAAATCAGCTACCAATTCAGTTAGAATTTCAGAATACCAATTTCCTTCGTATACCCTGTCTTAACAATATATTTTCAATTTTCAACATATTTTCAGGCTTGCTGAAAATTGATGACCAGGCAATGCAAATCCAATGTCATGGAATTTGTCAAAAATTTAACTAAGTGTGAAACATTTCCTTCCCAACCAAAACAGCAACAATCTCCCGCAACAAGCTAACTTCTCCATATTTATTTAATTCAGCTGTAATAGAATATTCCCCTGCAAATTTGTCATTTTTCAACTTTTTCATTGAGGTTCTCATTTCGTTTATTGTTACAGGTTCCACTGTATTTTCTACTACTAGATGGATTGAAGATTCTTCCCTCTGAAACGAACCAGCGCCTCTATTTACGAGTTCCATGAAAAATTCTCTTAATCCTTCTAAATGGATTCACCTAGTTTTATTAATACTTTAGTCCCACCTGTGTTTGGACTTAAGTTAAAAGTGGTAATGAAGAGTGATGATATATAATGTGTTGTCATATCTGAGAGATCATAGGATTTTTAGGTTATTTTTATCTTATTTACACCACCAAAAATGATTGTGTCGATGGGAAAAATAAAGCAAATATTAAAATTTTGATCCGACAAGATAGATTGCAATGTGATCTCCAAGTTTTAAAACATATACATAGGTATATGTATATATAACAGGTATGTTTTTCAAAACTTTCGAGAAGTTGAGTGAGTGACCACAAAGGATACTTACTGCCTTAAATTTCCCTTGAATCATTCGGGAGCAATTATGGTGCGTATAGAAAAGGCACATACGATTTTTCGGGGCATTCTGCGAATGGAACAGCTATCGCATGGTACAAGGACAACTAGATATACTCATTGTAATGACAAAGCTTTTTGTGACGATATCTGTTTCCAAAATACCTCAACAATATCTCAAATAAATGAAAAAATTGTAAGAAATTTATGTTTTTGTACAAATTTTTTGCATTTTTTTTTTTTTGTGTATTACACTTTATATTTTGAAACTTTGATTATTAAATTCTTTTATTCTTAAAATAAATTACACCATAAAAAAATAATACTTTAACTTATTGCAGTGGATCTTCTATATTCCTATTTATTTTTTTATTAGATTTTTTTAATTTTGCTATTTGCCCCTTAGTAAAAATATGTTTTAATGATTTTTCTAAGTTGTCATTTTCTATGGCCATTTTCCTATTTTCTTCCATCAACTGCTTATTTGCTTTTTTTAAATGTTCGCATTGTTTTTGCAAAATGGATACTTGCGTTTGTAGAGCACATTCTAAGTTTGTTCTAAAATTTTTAAGCATTTTAGATATTATTATTTTTTGGTATGTAGTTTCAGTTTTAATAAACTTACTCTGTTTGAATTTCAATATTACAAGATCCAGAAATACCATTAAATTCTTCTACAGAATCAATCATTTCTTGAATAGGGCTAAAAATATAAAAACAAAATTTAAATACACGCAAAATGCTCATACATGTGGTAATTTCATTAACAAGCATTGAAAGCAAAGTACTTAGTACGTAGCCTTAACAAAAAATTTATATGTACCTAGATTCACTCGATATTGACGCTTTTAACAAGTCATTTACTTCTTGCTTTCTTGATCTCCTAATAGATCTGATATCTCGTCCTGAAGGTTTCTTTTGATTTGGTAAATGTAATGTTGGAATTGCTGTTTCTTTCAACCTTCTTTTATGCAAAGGTACATTTAAAAGATTACTTTTTAAAGAATAATCTTCTTTACGAAAATGAAGTGCGCATATTGAAGCATTTTCCGCAAATTTCAATTCTTTATTACAACATGCCTTTATCCATATTTTTCGTAATTCTGGGTTTTTTGGAAACCTATGGAACTGCACATTATTTGTTTCACTATTTTTATATTTGCTTTTACAATATTGTACTTTGCAAATTGGAGGCATTGTTTCAAGAATTGTATTTTAAATATTTTCTTTTTGCTTTAATAAAAATTTGTTTTTTGTAATACCAAAAAAATTTTTTGAGCAATATGCCCAAAGTATGTATGTATGTATGTACTTACATATATGTAAGTATATGTATCTCACTTTTTACTAAGGCAGCAATAATATTTGCATATGCATTTATATAAATTAAAGAAAAAGTTTAAAAATATTCTTTCTTCAATCAATTTATGTTTATTTTTTGACATAATTTAATTTATCTTTTATACTTCACTTTACATTTCACTTTTCTCACACTTTAACTTTCAAAATATTCTTTTATAGGAAAGAAACATCAAACCAAATGGAAACAAATGACGTAATGTATGTAAAAAAAGGCGACAAAACTTTTTCAATTAGCATACCCGGTATTCGTTATACCATGAGAAGGGGTGACGCAGTTTTAATTTCAGTTAAGACTAAGTTCAATATGGAACAAGTGAATCTGAATCAATTTTCAATTTTGAAAATTGTTGCTGTTCATTTGATTTATAAAAATATTTTCATAATAAATTGTTACATTCCTTCATTCAGTTAATGAATTACAATTATTCAATGATTTCAATTTTCCAAGTATTTTTTGGGTGCCTCATGATGAGGAATGCTATTTAACTGCTAGTCAAGTTATAAATAGTTGCCAGACCATTCCCATCGATAGTTGTAAGGCTAAGAACCTTCAACAAATTTCTACCATTTCAGTGAAAGCAGTTTAAATATTTTAGACTGACTGGTGCAATCTTTTTCTCTCTGGTTTAAATCGAAAGCAGAACAAGACCGATTTTAAGCAACGAAAAGTTAAAATTCATATAACTTTCAAATATTTAAATTGGACTGCACAGAATCAAGCGAAATTACCGCCGCGAGTTAAACGCCGACAGTTTTTTGACATCATCTTTCATTTATATAACTTTCAAATATTTAAATTGGACTGCCCAGAATCAAGCGAAATTACCGCGACGAGTTAAACGCCTACAGTTTTTTGACATTATCTTTTTCCATATAGGTTTTTTCATCTTTCAGACATTTCCATATCTTTCAGACATTCCGCTGTTGTTTTGTATTAACAACAGAAATCGTTCGCCGTTGTCGTTCACTACTTTATTTTTGTTTTCATAATAAGGTATGCAATTGATTAATGTTGAATGATGTTGAACGAAAATTTGCTGTTTTTACTTTTAAAACAATAAGTCTTAAGTTGTTTCCAAAATTAAATTATCTCCGACTAATTTCCACATATAAAATAATAATGTATGTATGTATATTCATAATGTATATGTTATGTAAATAAAAAATAATAATGATCTTACAGTAAATTACAAACATTTAATTGTTATATTTTGTATAAAAATCCTATCGGAAAGTAAAAATATTCTTGGACTAGTACACTCGTTTCAAAAATTACCACTTTTGACAACCAATTTTTGAAAGCTAAATGTATCAACCCTGTTTTCGAGAAAACCTTTTTGACATTGACAGTTTTGCGAGTTTATTGTAGAATTTAATTTATTATAGACCTTGACATTAGAAAAAATCAGCCGTGTTGCAGACGGAAAACAATTTCAAAATAATCGATGTATCAAAAACTCAGGCAATCTATATAGCATACAATTAAAATTTCAATTTTTTATTCTGAAATATTAATATACATTAGTATTTTAAAATTATTAGATTGAATAATTTTTAGTGAAAAGAAAACACTTTCGCAATACAAAACTTATTCTTCAAAAACTTCGAAAACTAATATAAACTCTTCAAATTATTAGAGCTGCATTAAATTTTTGTTTTATTTTAATAAAACAATGGCTCTTAGTTATATACTAATTTTTTATGAAATAAATGACCATGTCAAAAATTACAACACATGTCAACTCTTTATTTCAGAGATATTTTCGGTAACCTTATTAATAATTAATTAATTTGACGCTTCAACAGCCAATCATAAAAAAGTTATAATTTTATACAACTAAAAATGACGATAAAGTGAAAAAAAAAAATTAAACCTAAAACGTGCAAGAAAACATACGTCAATACTACCTGTTTCCACGAAGAATTTTTCATATCTAGTTGACATACGTTTCAACTCACTTACAAACGCAATTTGTAATGCACTCAAATCTTTTGGATTTGAAGCATGGTTTATTCAAGAAGGAAAGCACTTCAAAATATGACTATCAAATATTCATATACTGAAAAAACAACAACAATCTTAATCTACACGTGATTAGAAAATAAAGCAATTTTGAAGCACTGTTTTGAAAATGTACCTAATATATATTTACAGCAAAAGCGAACTTGATATAATACCATTTCGTTAGGAAATGCAGGTGTGATAGGCAATAATACATATGTAAGTGATTCTAATCCATCATTGATATGTGCATATCTTTTTGTCAAATTAAATGACAATCTGTAACATTGGTGTTAATGTCATTTTTGACATCTTATATTTGGGAGTTTGGAACGCTGAAAAATTAAAGATTTCCATTATTATTTTTATTTTTTCAAAACAAATATTTACATTTATAACAAAAATTTTAAAATTTTTTTAAAAGAGTTGAACTTTTTAGCGAATAAAGGTAAGTGTAAGTGCTTAATAATTTTTTCTTAGTAATTAATATATGTTTGAGATGATATCCTTGAACTGGTGATTTACTTTCACGAAAAAAAATTTATAAGTTTATGCTTACTATCAAAATCAAAAAAAAAATTCATATGTAATTTAAGGATTGCTTTTTTAAAATATTCAAGTCATGTAGTAATAAACGAAAACAAAAAAAAGTATGTGTATCCAAAAATAGACATTTATAAAACGTAAGAAGCTTTAATATAAAAAAATATTTTATAACAGGAATAGTGCAGTCACGACATAAAGTTGATTACCCTGTGTTTAATTTTTTAATTTAAAGGGAAGAATGTCATTAAAGCCTAAAGCTGTAAACTTTGAGGAAGTGTGGCAGGATCTAAAGGAAACTGTGAAAGCTGTAATAACTATGGGAAACGTTCAAAGGGATGTTTGGAGTATACGTTTCAGGTAAAATAATGCAACTGTTTAATAAACATACAATTATTTCAATTAATCTTTTGAACAGTGATATATATTCGTTGTGCGTCGCTCACCCAGATCCGCTAGCTGATAGATTATATATGGAAACTAAACAATTTCTTGAAAATCACGTACAAAATATGTTGGCGACGCAAGTTGCACCACCTAATGGAAACGATATGACTGACCAAAACGGAAAAGATTTGTTACAAAGATATTATAATGCTTGGTCACAATATAGTAAAGGAATTGGATATTTGAATAAATTATATTTATATTTAAACCAACAGCACATTAAAAAACAAAAAATATCTGATGCCGATGTTGTATATGGCAATTTGTCACCCGACACGCAAGAACTAATGGAAATTGAAGAATTAGGTAACGAAAACATATGTCAATAATATTACGCTACATATCCATTTTTAGGTCTAGATATTTGGCGGGTGTATATGATTTTATCATTAGGTGAAGAACTAGTTAAACAGATTTTAGAAGGAATAAAAAAAGACCGGAGTGAAAAACATGATAAATCCACAAATGTGGAAGTAATTCATGAAGTAATTGAAAGCTTTGTTGAAGTGCAGAATTACAAAAAGAAGGGAAATTTGAAATTATATCAAGAACTATTTGAAACTCCAATGCTACAAGCCAGTGGAGAACATTACAAAACGGAAGCATCAAAATTACTCCAACGTTGCACGGTTTCCCAATACATGGAGGAAGTAATCAACATTTTAGAAGATGAGAACAAGCGCGCACATAAATTTCTACATACCAGGTTTGAAAAATATTTGATGTAATCAATCTTACAAATTATATATTTTAGTTCAATCACTAAATTGCAAAAAGAGTGTGAAGAGAGATTTATCAATGATCATTTAGATTTCTTATATTCAGAATGTAAAGAGATGGTTTCACAAGAGAAACGCAAGGATTTGCGCAATATGTACATTATTTTGAAACCAATTCCAGATCGTTTAAAAGGTTTATTAACACAAACATTTTTGGATCATATTAAAAATGAAGGAATAGAAACTATTTCCACATTAAAAGGCGAAAATATACATATTCAATTTGTCGAAAATATGCTCAAAGTCCATCAAAAATACCAGGAACTGATAGCTGATGTATTCGAAAACGACTCACTGTTTTTGAGTGCTCTAGATAAAGCGTGTGCTAGTGTAATTAATAAACGTATAAATGATAAACAGCCATGTCGTTCAGCTGAACTAGTAGCAAAATACTGTGACACTCTATTGAAAAAATCAAAAACAACGGAAACAGAAATCGATTCAAAATTGACTAATAGTATAACAATATTTAAATATATTGAAGATAAAGATGTTTACCAAAAATTTTATAGTAGAATGTTGGCTAAAAGGTAAGTGAATTACATACAACCTAATATTAGCAAAAACATATTTTATATTATTTTTTAGACTAATTCATGAACAGTCACAAAGCATGGACGCAGAAGAAGCTATGATTAATCGACTTAAGGTATTAATTCAGCATTTTTGTGATATTAATAAATTTAAGGTTTTTTTTAGCAAGCATGCGGGTATGAATTTACGGTAAGACAAAAATATTAATAAAATTAAAAAAAAATTTATATCCAAAAATATTTCAGAACAAACTTCATCGAATGTTTACAGATATTTCATTATCAGTCGATTTGAATAATAAATTTAACAATTATTTAAAGAATGAAAATACTGATTTAGGTATCTAAACAAATATTAGATTAAAAATTGAGATAATATGCTATAAATTCACTTTACAGGAATAAATCTGTCTATTAAAGTTCTTCAAGCAGGTGCTTGGCCCTTAGGTCCCACTCAGGTTGTAATATCTTTTGCTGTACCACAAGAATTTGAAAAAGCTATAAGAATGGTAAAAATTTCAAAAAAACTATAATAATTGAGTTTTTCAAAAGTTCCCTTATATATATTAAGAAAATAGCATAAAATTGTGAAAAAGTATTTAGCAGAAGCCTTTGATTTTTACCTACAGATTCCGACATTCATAATCTTTAAGAGTCATAATTTTTGATAACAAAGCTATTTTTAAAAGAACATTGCAAAAACATATAGTATACTATGTAACTTATTATAATAAAAAAAGGAAAAAAAAACTGCAAATAAAAATATGTTTTAATAAAAAATATTATTTAAAATATTTTAAAATAAAAATATAAAATTTTTTTTAATAAAAAAATTAATTTAAATAAAAATATATAACATAAAATGTTTTAGTAGTACTTTTCGTCAATTTGCTATAAAATATTGAAAATTATTTTCTTAATATAAAGGAATTTCCTATGTAAAGAAACGCCTTATTCTTTATTCTTAAGTTATTTCATGTTAATAAAATAATATCGATATTATTTCAGTTTGAAAATTTTTATCATACATCATTTAGTGGAAGAAAATTAACCTGGTTACATCACTTATGTCAAGGTGAATTAAAACTTGGATACTTAAAAAAAATATATATTGTTACAATGCAAACCTACCAAATGGCAATGTTATTGCTTTTTGAAACATGTGATTCTTTAACATGTAAAGAAATTCAAGAAACTTTACAATTAAACAATGATACGTTTCAAAAACACATGCAATCTTTAATCGAATCAAAATTGTTAATCGCTGAATCAGAAAATTTGGAAGGAGAAACTCAAATAAAACTAAACTTGGATTATTCAAATAAACGCACTAAATTTAAAATTACTGCCGCTTTACAAAGGGAAACACCACAAGAGGTAATTTTTATTTTCATATTCCACATATTATTTATTTATAAATTCTTCTAGGTTGAACATACAATGATTGCTGTTGACGAAGACCGAAAATTATACCTTCAAGCTGCTATTGTTCGTATCATGAAATCACGCAAAATTTTACGTCACAATGCTTTAATTCAAGAGGTAAAATTAATTTAATTATGAATTAATTAAAATTTCAAATTTCTGTTTTTAGATATTATCACAATCTAAAGTTAGTTTCACACCAAGCATCTCAATGATTAAAAAATGTATTGAATCGTTAATAGATAAGCAGTATATTGAAAGAACACCAAATTCTGGTGACGAATACAGCTATGTAGCGTAATTTTTTATATAATATAATAGTTTACAGGCAACAATAGCTAAAATCTCAACTGATAAAATTACAGAAAAGATATTAAACTTTATAAACAAAAAATTATGTGAAAATAAAAATATTTATTATGCATACGATACTAATACTGAAAGTAAAGAAAGTTTGATAAAATGCAAATAATTTTGTAATTTCTTGCTCTAAATTTAGTAAGTTTATTTTTAATAAATTAAAAATGAAATCAAATTTGGCTTGTTTTAATAAAAAAAATTTAATAAGTTTTAAATAAATAACATAGCACTCTTATTAAGCGAAAGAGTGAACAATATAAATTAAGAATAAAGGGGGTTTAGGAAACATTTTAATTTTCACTCCACACATTTTTATTTGTTTTCATTCCTTAATTAACAAAAAATTTTTTTCAATATATGTATATGTACATATATATGTTTAGTTTTCTAAAATATAACTTATGCCTTCTTAAGGTGTCAAAACCTTATTATCATTTTAAAATTTAACAGCCTGATCATGTATCTCGCTTTTTTACTCAGTTTTTATTCCCTTTCAAATCAGAATTCTCAATATTTTCTAATGGATTTTTCAATTTCCCAATAAGATTACTCATTTCTTTAATTGGATTTTTGCATTTTTTCTCAAATTATCGACAAAAACAAAGTGAAAAACAGTTTAAAAAAAAAGACACGCAATGGGAATATTTCTCCTCACTCGAAAATCACATTATACAAGTATATGATAGCTACTCACTTTCTTCTCAGTTTCCGAGTAAAATAGCGAGATAGACGAGTGTCAACCATGGGTATTTAAGAAAAACAGTTTCGTATAAAAATTTTTAAAAGTAATAATTTTAAGTTGTCGAAATTGTAACTTTGCAAGCCATCATTTATGAGGAAAATAGTAAGTTTTGCCAAAACCCAGTATCAAAAGTAAAAAACAAGAGAAATTTTTTAATAAACAAAACTTCTGTTGCCTAAATTGAAACTGATTGCAGTAAAAAACGGACAATCCAAATTTTTAAAACATAAATAAGCTGAGTACATGAGTATTGTATATTTTAGAGAAATTATTTATTATAAATAGTGAAGAATTTGAAAGTACCCTCTTTAGAACACAATTTTCTGAAATGTATGTGCATATTAAGTTTATATACATATGCATGTTACAAGTAAGAGAAAAAAAAACTAAAAATGGTTTTATGTATAACTTATTTTCTACTTACATAAAATAAAAAACAATCACGTCGAAATTGTATAATAGTATTGTATAGATACCTAATCCAGTAATTAAAACTAAAACGCGATCGTGTATTAGTATCGCATTATTGCAATTGTACAGTTATGTATATTTAGGTTTTATATGGTATGGTAACACTAATAATTAGTCAGCAGCGGTTTGCATTGCATTAATAAATGAAGGCTGCCATTGCTAGTATTTCCGTTAAATACCGTTAATGTTCAATTCTATCATCTGATTTTAAATCTCTTGTTTGATTTCACTAATGCGCATGCCTTATTTTTTAACTAAAATATATAAGAATATGTACCGGCTGTCAAAACTATAATTTTTTTCCTGTTATATTATTTTATGTACATACATACGTTCTTTTTTTATGTCTCATAAAAAAAAGAACGAAATAACTGCTATGAGTCTTTCTCTTGTACCGGTTACGAAAGGATATTGCAGAGCTATAATTTCTATTAGAATAATATATTCTATATGAAAATCCTTGAAAAATTAAAAATTGAGGAGAACGCAAATATTGAATATACATACACTAATTATTAGAAAGGTGTTCTTAGTTTAATTTTGAATATGAGATTATAATCTTAAAAAAAAATTTTTTATTGCACCTTGCCGTCAAGGTCAAATTATAAGTGTTAATATATATAAATTTATGTAATATTATTTTAAGATATAGCATACTTGAAAATTGATTTGTTTAGAGTGAAAATTGAGACACTATAAAATACAAAAATAACAAAAAAATGATTACTAATTCACATGAAGTAAATCCTTTGCAATTTGATAGTGAAAACCAAAGCTTAGTCAATAGAAAGCAGTATTCGGGACAATCTAATTTGTCCAGATCACCATCGAGCGCTAACCGAGATGATCAATCGCCTTCAAGAAGACCTACTACAACCAAAAATACAATTTCGAAACCCGTTATGAATTCTGAGGGAAGTGAAGATTCTTTAGAATACTATATAAAGTTTCCTTTGCCAAATTTTCGGAATGAGAATGATGATCTAGTATTTGTTTACAATGATTCAAACGGTACACTTTTTTCATATTCAATAATTTAATATCATTATTTGGAAATTTTTAACTGGCCTTTTTGTAGTTCCCGTAGTACTTCTTTTAGGGTGGGCTGGTTGTCAAGACAGATATTTAATGAAGTATTCGAAAATATATGAAGATCGCGGGTAAGATATTCCAACTAAAATTATCACATTCAATTAAAATAAAGCAAAAGAAATATATTACTTGATATATTTTACCAGATATCACCATAATTATGTGCATTATTGTAGATATTGATTTTTTCATTCTCTCAATTATTCTTTCTGCGTAAAATAAACGTATGTAATGAATAAATAATTTATAATTGAAATCCAATATAAAATATTTGTTGGCAACAACAATAGGATATCAAGTAAGTTTTTAAACGTAATAAATAGAAAAAGCAATTTATTTTGGAAAATCGAAATAAGATTTTAGAAACCGATTAAAAAATAGCGAAAAATTTTTTGTTGTATTTCGGTAAGACCACTTCGGTTCATAACAATTGGATTTAAAATATAAATTATGTATACTTTAAATATCACATGTGTTATATACATATTATGTATGTACATATACCTATTGTAAAATACGTACGTACCGTCATTAAATAATATTGCGAACATACTGTACAATATAATAGTAATAGTACATCAATTATATTTTACAATTAAACTTACTAATTAAATTTCTGACTTTAATTAAATTTGAAATCTTTTTGCCATGATTTTTGCCATTATTATTATGATTGATTTAAGTACATTTTATACATTATTGCACATAGTACTATAAATTTCGTATACAAAATACATAACATTTTGTGTAATATGTACACATATGTACATATTTCCCCTGTTAGTGATTGTTTCCGACAAGCGCCAAAGACCATATTTTGAGTAATTAAACACTAAATTTAAAATTCAGTGTTTAATTACTCAAAACCGCTCTGTAGACCCAAATGAAATTTTGTTTATTGAAAAAAGATATTATTTTTATTATTTTTTGATTTTAAATATCTCGATGATTCAACAACAAAGTTAACAATTTTTTAGCCGTCTGCTAAATTCCCATGCTTCAGAAATCTTTGTCAAAAACAAACACTAAATCAATGATTTGTATCATTTTGCAATTAATGAAAAATTTTATTAAATATTTTAGTCTTATAACTATACGGTATACTGCCCCAGTCGAAAGCATGTTTTGGAAACGATCTGCCATGATACCTATAGGTGAAAAAATTGTTAAATTAATCTATGATATGAACTTTGATAAACATCCCATGATAGTTCATGTATTTTCAAATGGTGGTGCTTATTTATACCAGGTATAACATTTTAACTAAAAACAGAATAATATGTATTTAGAAATAACATTTTAAATTTCGTAACCATTATGTAAATACTTGGGTTTAATAACCAATTTTAATTGTATTGTATAAATAACATTAAATAAAGAATTGATTAATTTAAATTTAGCACATATCAGTAGCCATGAAGGAAACCAACCGACCCATAAATATTAAAGGAATGATATTTGATTCAGCGCCAGGAGATAGAAGAATTGTATATTTCTCCCTTGATAAATATAACAATATCAATTAATTTAAGGAAAAAATTTAATCTTAATTCATCCATTTTACAGATGAGCTTATATAGAGCTATGTGCACAATATATGGAGGTAAAATAAGAAATCCAATTATAAGGTCTATAATAGCATGGGCAATATCTATTACTTTAAGTGTAATGTGGATAACTGAAGTAAATTTTTAGTACATACATATTATAAAGATATAGTTGATAATAATAAATATTTTAGGAAACCTATCTTGCCTTTAAAAGCCTTTTTAAAAAAGTGGAAGGAGCCCCGCAAACAAAGCCTTATTCCGATTTGAAAACTGAGTATACAAATTTTCCTCAATTGTTTTTGTACACAAAAGCGGATCCAATCATACCATATACGGTAAGAAATATTATTAAACCAATATACCTAGTATGGTTTTATTGTATTTTAAATTAATATGTAAACTGACTTAGTATATATGCAATAATGACCTATTGAAAATACTAACAGTTTTTTCCTTTCTTGTAGGATATTGAACATTTCGCTGATTTTCGCCAAAAAGAACGTGGAGTTGACGTAACAAAAATTTGTTTCGAAGACGCCGAACATGTCAAAATTTTTATCAAATATCCACAGCAGTACGTGCAATACCTTTGTTCGTTTTTAAATAGCTGCTTAAACTCATATAAAAATATTTCAAATAAATTTGCTTAAAGCGATCATAATTTAATTGAACAATAAATAATTTATAAGATGTTGAAAAAGTAAATAAGTACATAATATGTATTTATACATTCTTAGTAAATTGAATTAAAATTTTGAATTAAGTTCAAAGAACGTTAAACAAATTACCATTTGTGATTATTTGAAAAAGAATTATAATTCATGATATAATTTCATTTAAAATGACATAATGTATAACAATGCTCATTTTTTCTTGTTTAATCTAGCATTCACCTAATATTTGTTTTCGCAATCCTCTTATCGCGTTTATTTAAAAAAGTACTAGGTATTTAATTAAAAAATGGAATCAATTGAATATTTTAAACACTTTTATTATTCATAATTAAATATGGCAAATTTATAAAAATAAATATATTAATAATAATAATCCATAATTTTAATTGATTGTTACTTTTAATATCATAACAAAACAACTATAATTAAATATAAATTAATATCATACAACAGTTATAACTAAATATAAATTAAAGTAATAAAGAAATTTTGATTGAAATTTTTAAAGCAAAATATAAATATTAAAAAAAATAAATCTATAATCTATAACTAAATCAACAATCTATGAACGTCTACCAAAATGCAGATCCAACCTCAAACTAACTTATTCCGTAATTAAAATAGTATTGCTGAATAAGTGAGTTTGGCGTTAGATCTGCATTTTAGACGCCCTATATTTCCTATTTAAATAGAATTTTATTAAATTCTTATTTGTTTTGCAATTTCTAGAAATTGTATTTTAAGTTATTGGATGAAACATATAATTAATTAAATCCATAAAATGGATCCATTTCATGGAACTAATTAATTTAGTTGTTTTGTGTTATTAATCAAGAGAACAAAAAGTATTTCTATTTAATTTTAAATAACCTAAGCATGTTCGTGCGTTTTTAAGTTTTCGATCATAACTTTGATTTTGTAAAAATATAGAACACTGAGTATTAATATTATTGCAATTTAGATCTATATTTATAACTACATAAGAGACAAAAGAGTACCTTCTTTAATGGTTTAAACACTTATGTAACTTATTGTTCGTAACGTATTTCTATAAATACATATATCTAACATATTCTGCAGCATATAAAATTAAAATTGAAATAAAAGTAAGTTAAAATAAAATTAAATTTTAATAAAATAAAATAGTTAAAATTTGAATTAAATAAAAAAGCAATTAGTACTAAAATTTTTCATTCAAATTAAAGATTATGTATTAACTAAAATTTTATGGAAACATATAGTAAATGGAATATTATAGAGCAATATAATTTTATTTTATGTACGTATGTACATCAAAATAATGAAATCTAGCCTTTACTAACAATTATGATCGATTATAATTTTACTAGAAGTAAGATTAATTTTAAAATTAATATCAAAAGATTTATACTATATGAAATAACAATTTATATTTTACTGTGTAAAAATATTGAAACTTTCTATGCAATGAATTCAAAATTCAATTTAGGGAAAGAGGAGACCAAATTTAGATAAAATAATAATAAAAAATGAATTACGTTATAAAATTTATTATTTTAATTTTTTATTACATAATATAAAATTGGAATTTATTGTTACATATTATAATTTACATATAATTTAATATGTCATATTGAAAAATTATTTTAATTATCGCTAAATTTGTGATACTTCCAAAGTTCCGATATCGTCTCCTCTTAGTCAGAGTTTACATGTCAGTCTAAGATTGGCAACCATGATTGAGATTGATTGAAATTTGCTAAGTAAACATCATCAATCAATCATAGAAAAAACAAAAATTGGTTCTATTTTCGTCAAGAATTTCCGACAGGAATAAAATCAAAAATGGCATAAATATATGTAAGCTTTTGAGTAAAATGGGCTGTGATCCGCGGTTTTAATGTTTTTTTTTGTTTTTGTTGTTATTTGTCATTTGATAGTGGAGTGGCAGTTTTTTAATAGAATTTAAAGTGCATACAAAAAGATTAACAAAGATTTATCGCCATGATGTAAAGGTAAATCCCCATCATTCTTCATAAATCGCAATTATGATTGTCAAACTTTGATTGACATGTAAACGATGGCTTACATTTCTTTTGAAAAGAAACAAAATTAACTGAAAGCATTGCATTAGCTTTTAAAACGGAAATGCATTTTTATATTAAGTATAGCTTAGCTAGCATTAATATTTTAAATTGCAAATATTAGTGATTGGAATGAAAGTAATATATACTCTTATATATGTATGTATTTCAAATAAAAAAAGCTTTATCGCGCTAATATTATATTAAAATACCAAGGGCTTTGTCAATTCGTACTTTCGTATATTCAGAAGTGTTGCCCCCTATATTTCATTTTATTTAATATAAAAAAATATAGTATGTACATACATTTTTCTCGTCTATGAGAAAAATCATGTACGCGTCTTAACAACTATAGTTTCATCACTCGTCGTAGATGTATATGTATATCATGTTCTTTCAGCTTATGGAAACTCTATACCTTCTTACCTCATTCTGACAAAAATAAAAAAAATATTTTAAACCTTATAACGTTTAAAATATTAAAATATTTAAAATATTTTTGTTTCAGTTGAAGCAACATTTAATTTTAATATTTTGTTTCAAATAAGCTGTTTTTTTAAATAAAACGGGAAGGCGTACGAAATATGTATGTATGTATATATGTATATAGGTATTAGCAAAAATAAAAGCAAAAGTACTTATATGTACATAATATATGTATGTATCTTTTTCAAATTAATTTTTTTTTCCATTTAAAATTATTTAAAAAAAGTTAGATTAAAAAGTGTAAAAGTGGGCAAACCGCCCCAGATACTGCCTTCGCTCGCCAAGGTTTGCTTTGATAGGAGCAATGGTTTCACAATTCCTCACGAATGAAAGCATAGGAGAGACATAGTCAACCTAATGCGCCACATGTCCGCCAGTTTCCAGTATGGCAGCGTGCTTCACAGGGCCGCCGAACAAATGTGATCCTGCTGCAATTTGCTTCCCCAGAATGTCAACTGGAAGAAGATGGCAAAGCATTTCAATGGCCTGTGTAAGAGTTAATCGCAACTCTCCCCCAATCCACATTAATGCCATCCTCTGGACCTCGCTCGCCAGTCCCATATTGGTGAACCTAACACCGTACATCAGCACAGGTCTCACCATCACGGTGTAGAGTGAACCATACGTGGTTCGATGTCCTACTTCTTTCCAATGGCTCTCTTGTAAGAATAAAGCGCAATAAATAACACATGGTAGCGTACAACAAATGCTTTTCAACTTGCATACACACATATTATAATATGTATTTTATCAGTTTTTAATTTTACCTTATTCCAGGGAATTAGTTGAAGTGTACTAAAAGTTTTAAACTGCCTACTAATAAGCTATACAGTTTTGCAAGGCTATACATTATAAACAGAATTTAACTTTTATTTTCAAAAGAAACTGGGAATTATTGTCATGTAAATAAGATAGATACCTTGATATAATGCAATTAAATTTAAAATATACATACATAAATAAACTTAAAATGCTATTTGCAAGCACTAAAATGCAAGCAAGATCATTCCGCCCATACAAAGTTGAAACCGAGTCAACAAATATGTACATACGTAAGAGAAATGCATTATAAATTTTACATAAAATACTAAAATAAAATCAATTTGTAAACTATTGTAAAATAAAGTTACAAACTATTTAACATTTATAAACTTTATAAAGTTTATAAAGAATGGCAAGTTGGCGAATGTAATTCTTGCGAATTAAAAAAAAGCAAGATTTCGATAATACCTTACATTAAACGAAATACATATGTACATATGTATGTAGATAATAACAAAAAATGTATCAACTTCTGAAAAGTTCGAAATGGTAGAATATTCGGAATTTATGCATTCATACTTAATATACATACATATGTGATTATTTAATATTATATGAAATATATTATTATAAATATTACCAAATTACACAATATAGTATTTAAGTATTTAAAATAAAATTTATTAAATTCTTCATAACTATGATAATGATTTTTGTATGTTGTTTTTTTTCTTCTTTTTACACAGTGAAATTTCGTGGATATACATAATGGATCTGAAACTTAACAAAATGTTATTGTAGCTTCATAAGGCAGAAAGCTTACAAAATTGGCAATACTCTTTTGAATTAAATTTTTACGGGTGCCTTGTAAGAATTCTTAGGAAACTTTCATTTTTGAATGAAAAATTCTTCAACGGGATAGAATTATGCATATACATTTTTAACATTCAGAAGCGCATTTTGAAAATTATCATATTTCAAAAAATGTAACCACAAATCTTTTGTTTACATACATATAAATTGAATTCTATTTACTATACTTTTATAAAAGTTTTGCAGCTTTTTTAATTTTTGAAAAGTGGAAAAAAAATTGTTTTGGCAAAATGAATTAATTTCCTTTCATGGTAGCTGTGTTAGAGTAACTCAAACTCAAACAAAAAAATCAAAGTTTGAAAATTTACTATGACTACTCTTTAAATTGCTTGTTACGAGTGATTATTTCTATCGTAAACTTTTGAGGGTATTTTTTACTACGAACGTAATTTTTGATAACTCCGTTACCAACATTCGGAGCAGAATTAATTCGTAATTGTAATATATTCCTAATTTTCCGAATTTCACAGTTACGAACGAAATTCACGGAACTAATATGTTCGGGAAATATTGTCCGTATATGAATAAATGTGTTCCGTAATTTGAATCTTTTTTCTTACAATACGTTACAACCACATAATTTTTTACCTAAACAGTTTAGGCTAAACTTATAAACAAAAAAATTCCTAGAAATAAGTTTTGTTTTATAAAAATTTTCATTTTTTAGAATACTTTTTTTTTGCATTTTAAACAATTTCCGTAAATCGATTTTTTTTCCTTGAAAAGAGACTTTGGTTTAATTTTTTAATTCCGTAAGACCGAAATTCCGTATAACGAGTTTTCGTTAAGCGAGAGATGAGTGTATATACGTAAAACACAACACAAATTTGCCGATTTTGAGTGTACAGCCATGCCTTATTTACCTACACTCATCCCACGCTTTACGAAACTAATATCTTCCGGAAATGTTGTCCGTAAATCGAATCTATTTACTTATATTTAACCACATAATTTCTTACCTGAACTTATATTGGCACACATATTTCTTGTTAATTTGCAAAAAAATAAGGGAGGATTTTACTATTATTACAATATTAGGCAACAAGAATCAACAAGAAATTTTAATTCTTGGAAAAAAGCAATTACTTACACAAATTCTTTGCATTATTTTGCTCTGATCTCTGTTTCATATAAAACCTTAGACTACATATACATATATGCATAGCCACAATGGTTTTTATGCATCTACATAACACTTAACAAATGTACATGTATGTGTAAACAAAAAAATTCCTAGAAATAGGTTTTTTTATAAAAATTGTAATTTTTTACACTACTTTTTGCTATTTAAAAATTTTCTGTAAATCGAATATTTTTTCCTTGACAAGAGACTTTGCTTTAATTTTTCAATTCCGTAAAATCGAAATTCCGTATAACGAGCTTCCGTTAAGCGAGGTGTGAGTGTATAATCAATGCGTTTAGGCAAGCAAATTGCTATGTCAGTGTTTACTAGAAATGCACAATGTACTTTCAAAAATAAAATTTTTGTCAACATCTATGTACATATATAGAAAAAATATAATTTCAAGCAAAAACAATAATTTTTTTTAAATAATTCTTTATTTAATAGAAAAATATGTCAAATACGGAATTTCTACAATTACGTTTTTCTACTAATGAATGCAGTACTTGTAGGAATTTTCCTTAATATTAAAATCAATCCCGCCATAAAGAAAAAATAATACTCAATTATAATTAATAAAAAATTTAATTTGTCATTGGAAAAATTTAATTCATTTTTTGTATGAAATATTCATTGCGTCAATCAAGTTGCTTTACCTATATTTTATTTCCATCAATAGCTATTTTGTGTAGAAAGTTTTGAACTATTTTATTTAACTTTTTTTAAAAAATCCTTGTTATATATTTTTATTTTATTTTCAGATTCTAAGTATCTTTTTCAAGAAAAATATTTTTTGGACATTTTTAGCACATTTAAATTTTTCAGCTTATGTGTTTTTAAAACTAAATTTTCATGAATTTATATTTTTCAATTATACAATACTGCAATAAAATCTGATAAAAATGGATTTTTTTGTTAAAACTTTTTAAATTATAACCTTTTCACAATGCCAAATTAGAATCTTTAATTTTTTAAAATTAAAAAAATTTGCAAACTTTTGTACGTATAATATGAGCCGATTTCTAATTTTTGAGAAATAGTGTAATTGGACAATGATCACTGCCCATTACTTTCGATCTTATAGTACTTTCGACAACTTTATTTATTATTCTCTCCGATACAATAAAATAATCCAGACGCCACCCAACATTTTTAGACCTAGCATTCCTCATATATGTCCAAAATGTATACGCTTGTGTTTTATCTGGGTAAAAATATCTGAACGAGTCTACAAATCCTAATGACAACATTTTTGTCATACCATCACGTTCCTCTTGAGTAAAACCAGCATTTTTTTTATTTGTTTTAGGATTCGCTAAGTCAATTTCCTGATGCGACACATTCATATCGCCGCATATTATTACAGGCTTTTTTTTATTCAACTTGATAATGTAATTATGAAAAAGACTATCCCAACGCATACGTTTTGGTAACGTTACCAATTTTCGACCCGCGTTTGGAACATATACATTAATTAAAAAAAATTTTTCATATTCAGCTGTCATAATACGCCCATCTAAATCTTGTTCCTCGTCGCCTATGCCATATTCAACATTAATTGGCATTTTTCTTGAGTAAATAGCCACACCAGCATAACCACCTGGTTCACAATGCCAATATGGATGATAACCTGCAATTCTTGCTTCACTAGGAATCATATCTTCAGTACATTTTGTTTCCTATAATATAAATATTAAGTATGTGTAAACCAGATAAATAAAGTTGCAAAGCTATTTTAGTACGCTCTTACTTGAAGACAAAATATATCTGGATTTTCAAATTCAACATATTTTAAGCCACCTTTTTTTATCCAACTCCTAAGACCACCAACATTCCAGCTTGAAATTTTTAACGTGTATTCTTTATTGAGCTCAAAATCTTTTGCTTCGTAAAAAGTTTCAGTGTCATTAGCTTTTGCTTTTTTTTCAACAACTCCGTTATTTTCTGTTATTTTTTCCAGTTCTGTTTTAGCTAAAACAGAGCAAAAATGAATAATAATTTCACTGATTTTCATATTTGTGTTTAATAATGAAAAAGTAACATAATTAATGATTATTTCCCTTTATGGTTAGTTAATTATTGCTTATAGTTTTTTTTAAAAATTAGGACGAAATTGAAACGTAAATTGCATTTAAAATTGAGCTGGTTCTACATTATTCTATCAAAAAGTTGACGAACTAAAAACCAATATTAATTAAAATTTATATCAACAATTTTTTCATAATCCAACATAAAAACCTATCAAAGACTTTCTCTATTTTAAGTTTAACTTAAATTAAATAAGGCAAAAAATTTATACATATTCATACTTTTAAGATGACCTTTTCCGAAAACTATAACCTAATTTATTTGGTATTTTAAATTAAAAATCTTTTTCATTAAACTCGATTACGCACCAGCATTATTTATTGAAGTAATGTTCTTTATTTTTTTGACAAATATTGTATTTTTTGTCAAAAATTTACTGAAATCAATACCTTATTTAGCTTTTTGTATTTTAATATTGGTTTTTGATTTGTTTTCTTCTACATAAAGAAAAAACTAACATTTTTTCTCCTACATAAAGAAAAAACTAACACTAAAAATTGAAAACATTTTAAAATGATATTAATCTCACCTTACTTTTCTCATTGCTTGAAATAAGCCAATTTTTACATATTATCAAAGCCGAAAACAATCAAAAACCAAAATCATATTATTTTTAATAAAAATTTCCTTTATTTTTTGAATAGCGTCATATTTTTCTTTGCTACAATGTCTACATTTTTTTGAAATTTGTATAAAAAATTAACACAAAAAAGTTTTTTCACATTTTTGTGAATATTAATTAAAGCATACAAAAAACTAAATAGTATTAATACAAAAAGAAGATAATATTCAAAAAAAAATCTTAAACTAATAATACGAAGATATTAAATGAATAAATTTAGGCAAAGCTAATTATAATTAGAGCTAATAAACAAATGTTTTAGAAAAAGTATGACTTTTTTCTCAATATTTTAATTTTGTGTTTTGTTAATATTATCTTATTTTTTACCGGTAACTTTGGGTTTTCTTCCCTTTTTCGCGACAGGTTCAACTACTTTTTCTTCTGCACTCTCATCCTCGAGGGCGTTATTGGCAATTTCTTCTGTATTAATCCTTTTCTTTCCCCTTCCACCCTTAGCTGATTTGCTATCTTTTTCTTTTGTCTTATCTGCTAGGGAATTTTCACCTTTATCCCGTTTTTGTTTTTCCGTTTCTGATTCATCTAAAATTTCATTATCCGGCAAAGCTGTATCCAAAGCCCGCTTTCTTCCTGGTTTTTTATTGCGAGAAACAGTTGATTTTTTCGTTTTTTCCTTGTCCTCTGCTTCTGCATTAATTTCTTCTTCTTGTTCCAAATCTGTAGCTTCAACGGCAGGTGCTTTCTTCTTTCCTTTTTTAATAGGCATTGGATCTTCTTGAACTTTCGCTTCTAGCTTTCCATTCGCTTCTTTCTTAGGTCTTCCTTTTTTTTTTATTTCAATTTCTTCCTTTTTTTCTTCAAAATCTCCATTGATTTCGCTTTTTTTATCTTTACTATGTCTTTTTACCTTTTCCACAATTTCTTTTTTACCTTTTCCGCCTTTTTTTGCCACTGCCACAGACTTAATTGTTTCAACAGCTTCACCCCCATTTTGCTCCTCTTGATCATCAATGCTTGTAGAATCAGCTGCTTCAACCGCAATAGATTCTGTTTTTTTTCCACGACCTCTTTTTCCAGCCATTTTCTACAAATTTTTCAAAATATAAATTTGTTTATAGTAACTTCCAACATATGTATGTACATAATTTTATTCCTTTCAAATATGTATATAAAAATAACATTTTATTCAGTTTACATTTTCAAATCTTCAATTTCTTGCAAATAAAATACAATATAAAGATAAAACTAAAAGGATCTATCGCGATTTTATTGAATGCCTATCGAAAACTGGCTAATAGGATACATTCAATCCAAAATGGAGGCTTTTTATTAAAAATATTTATTCCACATTTCACCTTTTTTTTATATATATTCTAAAAAAGCAATTTTTGTTTTGCGTTAAGTGTTAAGCAATTTATTAAAGCATTTATAGCAGAATTTTTCGTGCAAGTTACAAAAAGTTATCAAAACAACAAATATAAGCGTCCAGCCAGCTTCATTTTTCCGGCAAATTTTTTGAACGAGTATACATATCAAAAATATTCTACTTAAAAATTTATTACGATACATATTTGATTTCATATTACTTACGCTCTCTTATTTTCGAAATCTTGAAATATATTTAATTTTAAGTATAATTTTTTTAAATATGTATATTTATCAAAAATTTTTCTTTCAAGTTTAACTCTATAAAACACAAATGTAGTTCACTGAACCAACAGACGAACAGCGGAGAACAATTTAAATTAAACTTTAAATTTTAAAAGAAATCTATCATAGAATTCCATGCAGTGTTGCCACTTTAGCTTCAGTGGGCAAAAAGTGGCTAATTTTTCTTTTTGTAATTTCTTTAGATCATTTTCTAAATTTTCAAGAAAACTTTAATATTTCTGTTTTACAAAAATTTTTTAAATAAAATTTGTTTATGAAAATGTAGTAAGATCTTAAAATTAAGTTATGGATTGTATATAAAGATCTTAGTATTGGGAATATAATATGATTGTGTTTTTTAATTGTAAAATACTCAAAACTATGCAAAAGTTATCACGCCAAATTATATTCTTATTTTTGTGTACATTTATATATATATTTGTTTTGGTAAAGATTTCACTTTAAAGTTTATATTACCCCAAAAAATGTTCAGACTTGATACAACAGACCAACGACTAACGCAAAATTTCAAATAAAAAGGTGAAAGTTTGAATTAAATTTCAAATTAGACCACGAATAAGTTTTTAATTTCCAAAGTAAGCATATTATCAATTTTGGTTCTTTTTGCTTGAATTTGAGCCTTTTTTTTGAAAAATTTGACCTATTAATTTTCTTATATAAGGGTAACCCCGAGTCCACGTAGTATTGCCAAGTTTCTTTTTCATAAATTTCCAAAGATTTCCGTTTTTTTTTAAGGTTTCTTACTCTTTCATTTGGTAGATTTGCCGATTCCTTTTAAGTAAAAATAAGAAAATTCCCTAAACAACAATACACAATTTGAACCTTGTATTAATATGCAACTAATGAGAATATGCAATTGTAATTTTTAGCATCAAAAAATTAATTTAAACATTGAAGTAAAGTTTAAGTTTTTATATTGACAAAGTGACACATTTTTAATTATAAACTTTTTTATATTAAATTTTATTTTAGGTAGAGTAAACATATTTGTAAAAGTATTTGTTATAATCAAAATTTGCATTGCAATTTTATTGTAAAATTAATTCCAATATTTTACATTTTTTTTTTTAATTGAATTTCACAGCTAAAACTATATTACACAGAGAAATTTCCAACGACTTTGTATTTTTTTTCATGTCATAAAATCCCAGGAAGGACGAATTCCCTAATATTTGACAACACTATTTTGATTTATAAGATTATTAGGCAGTTAAATTTAGTTACGAGTTTCCGTGCTTAATTGAGGTAGTAAAATTTTATTGGGTATAGTAAATTTAAATTTACACAAGATGTTGCCATTAGGAAATAAAGGTATATTTCGCAAAATTTAAAAAAAAAAAAACAACAATTTATAACTAATTCTCGTATTTGCTTAAAACAAAGTACATGAATGCTTTTTTTTTACAAAAATTGGTTGTGTTTACACAACGCCTCTATAGTCTGATTTCCTGTTTCCGACAAATTATTTTTTCAATTTATTTATACGTTAACCTTGCACATAAAATACAATGTTTCGTGAATTTTCGTCGACTAGCTGATTTTTTTTGTATGAAAATTTAAAATTTTAACAATCTTTTATATTTTTTTTCTCTTTCTAAACTACACTTACAATTAAAAAAAGTAAAAAGGTATAGTGAAATAAAAAAAATCCAAAAATGCACTCACACGAACCCTCAAATCCGAAGAAAGTTTGATCGACATGAATAGGTAACTTAAAGCCGATCAACCGCCTTAGAACGATATTTATTTTCAAAAACTAACGTTTTATGACGAATTTTGATCAAATTGAAGGTTGCCAAATGAAAAAATTTTGTAATCTTGGGACTTTGATTAATATGATGCTACTTTGTAATTTGATTATTTTAAATTTGAACTGTCAAATTTATATACGGGCTCCGCCAAATTTAAAAAGTTTTTCGAACATGTTTAGTGTAATTTGAGTATACTTTAATCATAAAAAAACAGAAAGTTTAAATCTGAGTGGTCTGAGTTAAAAGCGAACGCGGATCTATTTTTTGACAGATTTACATCTAAAACGAAAACCACCATGTAACTGCTATTTTCAAAAGAGAGTTATTAATGAGCTTGACATGATCGTCAGATTCCACTCTCCAGATTAGTTTTCTTTCTTCCATCAAATTTTTATTTTTAAATTTGTTTTATTTCCACCCTCTTCATTAAAAAGTTAATTCTTTTGTGTATGTACATATATTATCCATAATTTTATTTATTATATTTATAGTACATATATTATCCATAATTTTATTTATATATTATCTAACCCAATAAATTATCTAACCCTCGTTGGAATTTTCTGGTAGATCTTCTGGTGATCTTCTGGTCATTTCCAATTTGTTTGCCTGTCATTTTTCTATTGCTTTTGCCCCAGTTGATGTTGTGGGTGGGCTATCTCCGGATTTTGCTGCATTTGTGAATATTGTCGATGCGTCTATTGATAATTTTATTCTTGATAGTAATGTTCTGGGGCCTGATTGCGTTTTGCGGCCCATGGAAAGTTTGGGTGGTGACTGCTGTGGTGTTGTATAGATGCGCTGATAGCCTTGTTGGTCCTCTTACTTCTTTATTTAACCTATCGCGGGTGTCTTCTGCTTTTTCTTCGGCTTGGAAGGCGTCGTACCTTGTTCCGGTTCATACGAAAGGTTTACGTTCTTCGGTCAGTAATGATAGGCCTATTGTTAAGATGTCGGCTATTCCGAAGCTTTTTGAAAGTATTTTGGTTGATTACTCCTACTCTTTTTGTAGTCGAATACTATTAACTCTTTCTCTTCGTAGCTTGATGTGAGTCTACTCCTATTTGTCTTGCAGATTTTATCGGGTTTCTTTCCGTTCTGCTCTGTCTGATGTCTACTGTGCCGGGTCGGGTGTTCCGCAATGGTTACCAAAATTCTTTGGTATTTGATCCTGCTATTATCTTAAATCTATTATCTTAAATCTAAACTTTGTTCTAATTTAGTTTTGTAGTATTTTTTTCGTTTCTTCTTGTTCTTGTCTTTCTCTTTCGTCTTTATTTATCTATATTATCTATATTATCTATTGCCTGATGATTGGATTTTTTGTTTCTTTTTTGTTAATCGTTATGGTTTTTTGCTGTGATTATTATTATTAAATTGTGCTCGTTTTTTTAACTTACTTGTTCTTTTGCTTTTCCCTGTTTTTTTCCTACATATTCCCCTTTTTCCCTCCCTTTCCTGTAAATGATGCTTGATAACTGATAATTGCATAGTTGCGACTAAATGATGTTTTTATTTGTGCCTGTTCGCGATATGCTTAATGCTTGATATTCTAAGCAATGGATGTGTGATACAAAAAAAAAATAAATGATAAAACAAAAAAAATTTTCTTTAAGTGGATTCAACTCAAAAAATTTTGGACTCCAAAAAAAAGACAACTTTCATAATGAGCGAATGAAATTTTTGGCAAATATAAGTTTTTGGTATTATGATTAGCGAATTCGCCTAAATTTTAGACGAATAAGCGTTTAAATCTGTCGAATGAAAGTCTGTGTGACAAGCTTGGCGAATGAAACCAAAAATCAAAATAATACATAAGTGCTTTTTTATTGCATATTATAGTATTTATAGTGACATAATGGAAAAAATCTAAAATATCTCTAAAGTAGGTTCATAAAATTCTACAAATTATTGTAAAAAACATTGATTGTTAAATATTAATTTAAGCGTGACAAAAACGAACCAAAAACAAAATAGACAACAACCCCGACATTGCTAAATAGGAAAATTTAATTATATTTAAAAAAACAGAAAAACAATGTACATTTGTGTGGTGTTAGCCTTATTATTTTCGGTAGGTTTTCTGTTGTCTTGCGGTAGCAACTTTTTGGATCTGGCGAATGAAGGCATACGCCAAACATAATTTAAAATGTCATTTGATTCGCCTAGTCTATCCGACTCGCCTAGCTATTCGCTTCGCCTATCATAATAAAGGTATTAAAGTAACGTAATTTCGTCACGTGCAGCATTTTATTATCGAAACAAAGCACAGTACAGTGCTAAGTTGAAGTGAATATATAATATCAAAAAGGCAGAAACAGGAGCCTATGTATATTTCGTTGATGACGTTGACTTCTGCAAAAATAATAAGAAATTCTTTATATTATTAAAACATATATTTGAATATTTATTATGTATATTTTATTTTTTATATATTTTTTCATTTAAGTTTTACAATACACTTTAAGATTATACAAATTCATAAAATACGGGAAAAACAATTAAAACAATTATGAAAACACATAAAAATTTATTTTAAATAAAAAAGGAAACTTTAATATAGAGTTAAACCCGTTTCAAACTTTTGTTTTTATTTATGTTACTTTTTTATGCAACAGAATAATTAACACAAATTATTCGAAAATAAAGATCTAACTTTTTAGTAAAATATAGTTGTTGTTTTCAAAAATCATTTACTTTAAAAATTGAAAATTATAATACATAATATTTATTTGTTCTTTAAAATGAGGAAACCATTAAGTATAGAATTTTTTTATTGATTGAGGAAAATATGTAAATTTTTGTTTTATTTTTCAAATTTCACAAGCAAAAACTAGAAGAATATTGAAAATATTAATTTTGAAAATACAATAATTAATATTAATAAGTTCATTGAAATTTGATTTTTTAAACCACCAACTCCGAAATGTTTTGCTTTGAGAACGTGTTGAGATAATATGATGTCGTCAGTCACGTTGACGGTTGCCGTGATCTGGATGAAGTCGTTGTTATTTGATGAAATATCTTGCTGAAACGCTGATTGTATGTTGATAAAATTTGAAATCTCTGCCGTTGCTCACAGAACAAGCTGCATAATTTCATTTTTGTTTGCTTTAGACCTATCGAATTCAATTAAATATCGTCAGTAATTACACTCCATTCTATTTTGTATACAGGCATTTTGTTTGGATTGAAACTATGTTTTAGTGCTACATAATTAAGTTATACATATAATTTTTTAGAAACTATTTTAATTTATTTCTAATTTTCATTCGCTTTTGAAAATATTTAAAATCTTTTATTTTCATTTTATATATTATAAAGTATTTATAATCTAACTTTTCTCTTTTTGGGAAGCTTTTCTTTTTAAATTAATGTTAATGTATTTTTGCTTTTAAACCGATTCGATGTTGTCAATTTTGGAAACTCGCTAATCTTTAAACGATTGTTTATTTTACCTTATAACTATGACTTAAAAACTATATCACATTTCAATTATATAAGCTTATAATAATCACAGTTAAATATATTGATAAACATTTTTTCTAATGGAATAACAACAATCACAGAATTTTATATTTTTATTTTTTCGATACAACAAATTGTAAGTATTGTAGCTTAATTAATTTCTATCTTTATATTTGCATTAATTTTTTTAAAAACAGTATAAAACAGTATTAAAAACATGTTTTCTAGAAATTATCTATTCTTTTTAAAAAAATATATAGATAGATAAATACATTGACAAATGCATATTAAATATATACATAAAAATATCGCAAATAATTAAAAAAAAAGACAAAATATAAAAAGTTATATTTTAACATTTATAATATTTTTACTTAATTTTGTTCAATAAATAAATGAATAACTCATTATTTAATATAAATATAATAATAAAACTGTAAGGCGAGATATACCTTTGACATAGCTACAATTTAAAATTAGGTTTGGTGATTAAAATATATATATATATATATATTATTTCGAATTAAAAATTCTTCTACAAGAGAAATAACAACAATATGTACAAAGTAAAAAAAAAAATTGTTTAGTTGTTATGTTTTACAAAATTACGTAATTTTATAAATTATAAATTCTAATACATTAAATAATTTGTTAAGTTTATATGTTAACATTTCTTCCCAAATTTTCTTTAATACAGGAATTTCGAAATTCAACGTTTGAAATTTAAATACTACTTTACGTTATATGTAAATATTGTTTTAAACAAATAACTAAGTAGTAAAGGTATTATTGAATAGTTTAATTTTTTTTGCTTTTCTCTTATGATAGAACACAGAACCGAATTTGTATTATCTTTATAAAAACTTATACCATTTAATTCTATATCGAAAAGAAATTGACATTTTTATCTCGAGCAAAAAATGAGGTGATATAATGTTATAATGCGCATATACATATGTATATATATATAGATGTAATCGATAATATCATATACTGATTGACTGTATATAATATAACTTTCATTCAGAATTTTTCATATAACCGATTCGCAATTGCTTTAATAAAAATTTAATTCTGATTCGAACATCCCTTTTTTTGCTCAAAAAACAAAAACAGCAGTTGAAATTTTTTTTGTTACAAAAATGTCAATAAAATTTAACAATACCACATTATTGACACTATTAATTACTCGACATTTCTTTTTTGAATTATTGTTTACATTACAAACGTAAACATCCTGTTGACATTTCAATGACAAGTTTCAATGATTTCAAAAATGCAAAAGAATTCAACGCTTTACTTTACATTTTACATTATCGATTACATCTTGTAATTTTATTTTTCTACTTGTAATTAATTGACAACAGAACTTAAGTTAAATTTGCTCGTTACTGAAGATATTAAAATTTTCTTAAAATTTAATTCTCGTACACGGTTTTTGTAAAAATCAAAAATTTGTTAATTATGTTTCAATATCTTTCAATTTTTTTACACAATATCATTAAAAATAAATAATTTAGAATAAAAAAAATATTATCAATTGAATTACATTTAAAAAATATTATTATTTTAGGACTTTTTTCCCTTTTTTGTCTATTTATTATGGAAAAATTTTTATTGTTCTCTCAAGTTTTTAAAATATATTGAAATTATCTGTATATAGTATTTGTATATAAATTAAAAACTGAAATAAAAAAAGATTGATAAACATAAATCAAAATTTATTGATACCTGATCGTAGTACGAAGAGGTCATATCCCAAGATGATTTGGTTGATGATTTAAATGTATTTGTCATTGCTCCAAGCCTTGAATGAATTGATTTTCTACTAGTAGATGACTTTAATTTTGATGTTCTAATAACCTTTTCCTTTTTTTGTTGTCCATGTGATTGTCCACTTTTACCATAAGATTGACTGTTATTATTTCTCAATTGCTCTAATAAATGTGGTGGAGTATTCGTATTTTGAAGGGTTGGTTTTCTGTCTTTTAGCTCTAAATTTAATTATTTTTTTTTTCGTTTCATTCTTTTATTTATTTCGGAATGTTGAAAGCTTAAATGTTACTATTTTTTTTAATATCGCTATTATTATTAATTCGATTTGAATGAATTAGTAGCAAAATGTGTGATATTAATGTAATTTATATTATGTTATATGAAACTTTGTGTGATATTAATTTAAAAAAAAAGCGATTGCGTCTTTTATTTTATGAGCAGCAAAAACAAAAATTTGAAAAAATCAATTTTTTCTTTTAAATGCGTTACCTGAACTGTTATTGTCTTTTGAGCGTTTTTTAACATTCCTTTCTGGAGTAGATCGAATATTACTTTTTGGAGATGGCTTAGACAGAATTCTTGAACCTAAAATGTTGTTTCAATATTACTGTTTCAATTTTTTTTTCAATTAAATAAAATATAACCTTCATTTTTTATTTGAAAAGATGATTTAAATTTAGTTTTGCTAGTATTTTCATTATTATCAAGGAATTTATTTTTATCAATGCTTGAACTTCGACTATGTCTTTTTGAACTAAAATAATCACCACCACGTCTTCTACTTTCAACTTTGATATTTCTGCTATACTTTTTAAAATAATCTCTTCTATTCTGGTTTTCTTCATATTTTTCATCACTAACTACATCCTGCAGATTTCTAATGCTAGGAGTTACGGATGATTCTTTCAATTTTGTAAAAGATACTGCTTGGACATTATAATTTCTTTCAGTTTTATTACTAGATTTGAAACGACCTTCATTCTCTGATTCACTTTCTTCTGAAGCAAATAAATCGATACCATCATCTTCTTCGTCACTGGAGTTATTAGATTTATTCGATTTATTGTCACCCAGCATAGCGTCAATTTCTTCTATTAGCTTTGCATCGTCCATGTCTTTTTCAATGGGTGGTGTTAATGATTCAAAATTATCTTCAGAAGGTGGCGGAGTTTTAGACTTTTCGGTTTTATTCAGCATAATTTCTTTACTAGACTGCGGTAATTGTTTTTCCACTGCATCTTTGAATTTAACGGCACTAGTATTCATTTTGTTAAATTGTTCCTCAGTGGATTTTTGATTTGACTTTTTCTCGTAGTCTCGATTATATGCAGTCTCATTTTCTTTTTTAAATTCGTCTCTTCGACCAATTTTATCCTCTGTTTTTGATCTGGATCTTCTTTTTCGATCAGAAGGGCTTTTTGACTTCTGAAAGTCCTGTTCTACTTTATTTCTTAGATTAAAATTACCGTTACTATTATGGATGCTATGACTAATACTACTGCTATTACTTTTATTATTATTATTATTACTATTATTATTATTATTGGTACTATTGTAACCGTCATTAGTTTTATTCTTTAAAATATTTACAATTGGTGACCTCTTACGTATATTTGTACTAGCATAATGCGTCTGACTATTTAAAATTGTTGTATTTACTTGTCGGTCTCTTGATTTCCTAACAAATTTTTTGTTTAACAAATTAATTGGCGATTTCGGTGTTCGGGACCGCTTTTTTAGTTGAGGGGATAAACTCTTTCGTGGTTTTCTTCTGTTGTAATTATTACTTTGCAATGGAGAATCTCGTCGATTGTTGTCTTTTCCCACAGGTGATTTTCTTTTACTTCTCCCTGGACTTTTTCTCTCAATCATTCTTCTTTGACTGCGTTTATTTAGATTTATCCCGGGAGAAACTCTTCTCCTTCCAGCTTGCGGGGATCGAGAACGTCTCATCTCAAAATGATTTCTTCTAGGGGATCTTGACCTGCTTAAACGTCTGTGAGATAAATTAGAAATTGGTGAATACCGCCTCTGTAAAGGAGTTCGGGATTTATTTCGTTTGGATACATTTCCAACTTTGGTAGGTGATCTCGAATGCCTATTATGATGGCCTGGTGACAATGGTCTATAATCAGAATTCCTGCTGAATGATCTACGTTTACGTTCATTTACATGACGGGTGTGACCTGATCCTGAAGAAGACCTTGACCGCGACCTCTTGTAATTATACTGAAACGGTTTACTTCTGGAACGTCTGGATGGTGATTTACTTTTTGATTTACTAAATCTCTGTCGGGTTGAATGGGGTGGTGGAGTAATAGATGACCATCTAGGGGGGCTTTGACGATATAAAGAAGACGGTGAACGAGAAATTCTTCTGTAGCTAGGGCTTTTTGATCTTCGATAATGTTTTTTTGGTGAAAGATCTGCTTCGATTTTTCTTCTTGCAAGTATACCATTATTTTGGGCAACAAATGCTAAACTTCTCGGAGATAATTGAACATCGGTTGTAAGAGTATCCTTTATAATTGGTTTTGGAGTATATGTTGCCATTTCTTTATTTGAGCTATAAGCATTTCCATTATGCGTTTGTTCTTGGGGTGGTAACCAAAGCCGTACTGGTCCGGGAGGTCTTGGCACATTATTTGCCATTGGAGCATTTGCGTGAATAATTGGCCTTGAATGTGGTGCAGATATATATTGTGACACTTGAGGAATATAAACGTTAAGGTGACTAATGTGGTTTGCTGGATAACGCTGACTTTGTGGACAATATTGTGTTTGATGTACACCATCCAAGTCAGGATTAACTCTAAAAGGTTGCATTGACAACGGATTTTGTTGCTGACTCATTTGTGGTATTTTTGTATAAACATCTTGACCAACACAAATGCCTGTATCCATTTGTATATGAACTTTCTTGTTTGATATCTCGTGAAATTTTACTTGTGTTTTGCTTGGTGAACAATCTTTCTTTAAATTAATGGACTTTAAGGCAGCTAAACGTAGAGATTCTAAATCATCTTCATCATCGGAATTCATATTAGTCTAAAAATAAAAAAAATTATACATGTACGAATATTTGTCAATCACAATTGGGATACAAACTTACATGCCTTTCTTCGCTCATTTTTGGGATATTAAATTGAAAATTTTAGTTTCAAGTAAACAATTCCCCAAAATTTTATGTTTGAGAATCATAGAAAAAATCTTTAAAATATCTTAACAATATTATATAAATTGCTCATCAAACTAAAAGGACATTTTTGAAAGGTCTCTAATCATATTTAATGCAGATTGAAAAGTCACAATTAAATTTAATCAGATTTATAATGTTTCTCTTTAATACTTCACAGCACACATAGTCATTAAATAGAAATTGTTTTAAAAATTATCAAAGTTTTGCAAAAGTATTTTAAAGTTATATATCGTTTTAAATATTCAACGCGTTTACAAATAAAATATTAAAATGGTGGAAAATTTTCAAGATTTCACTTAATATTTTTGACATTTGGAGTATTATACCAGTGTGACCAATTAATCTAGTTTCCAGTTGGAAAGAAATCCTGGAAGTTTCAAGCATTCGCACCAAAGTATATCTACTAACAAGTAGTTCGACTCTCCGTTTACATCACACTAATGCAATCACTCACCAATATTTGTATAAAAAAATTCCCTTAGTTAAAAGAGTTAAGCAGTATACCTTCTTATTTTCATTTTTATACACATAAGAATTTTTGGGAAAGGGAAAGAGTACGCAATAGATGTCAACCTGTTTTTTTATAATATAATTTTGAAAGGCGACACTTTATTATTTGTTCCTATATAAAGTATAGGGAAAAATATTAAGAATTTTAAAAGCGACACAATAATTTCTGTAATTCATTCCAGTACAAGGTGGCAAAAAATGTGTATTCATATTATAAAAGCGAAGCGGAAAAGAAGTGTTTAAAAAAAATTATTATAATTTATATGAAACATAATAAAAATAAATTTTAAAAAGACGTATAATATTAAAAAAAATTTTAAGTAGTTGTGAAAAAAAAAATTTTTTTATAATAATGGGTGAACATTAAGGTGAAGTGTTTGGGATGTAATATTGTGTGTGAGGCAAAAAAGCCGACACGAAAATTTCATTCATTGCTTTAAGATATGGAGAGGTAAATATGTACTTTTGAAAATATTTTAAATTTTTAGTGTTAAGCATTTGTAATTAATAATTATTATTAATAAATAAAATAAATAAATTATTTTTAAATTTTTTATTTTCATTTCAATCTTAATAAATTTAAAATGTATTTCCTATGAATCGGCATTGATTATATTTCATAAAGTGATCAGTATGCATACACCTTTTTTTCTTTATAAATTATTTTACTTCTATGTCACTACCTGATACTGTGAATCTACTGTACCAGGTACATGCATGTGTACATTCATACATGAAATTTCAATTTCTTTTGCCTTCATAGATTCGAATTTTTTACCTATATTTTATAAAATGAAAAATAAATTTTGTTATTATCAAAATAAAAATAACAAAATTTTTACCTAACTTAATTTAATTTTATTTTATTTTAATGTTTTTGATACACTCGTTTATTTACAATATTTTGTTTCTTTCTTGCCTACACAACTCTTATTACCATCTATTTCTAAAAAAAAATGGAATATTTTAAGAATTTGGAAGCAAGATGCAAATGAAAACTAACGGAATGGAACGAGTCGAATTACTTATTAGTAGATATACTTTGATTCGCACTGACAAAAACACATCAAATTTAAGTTTGGAAAACAATGTGAAATAAACGTATCACAAAACTTAATCAAACCAAGTTATGTAAGCAAGAAAATTGCTACACATACAAAATATTTAGTATATCCAGTATGTTCTCCAAATTTGAACCTTTGTAGAACTAGGGCATTAAAAATATATAAACAATTAGTTAGACCGTAATTATTAGGTTTCTCAGAGATAAAAAAAACTTTAAAAAGAGAGACAATCACCAAATTCTTGAAATAAGACCAAAATTTTTTTTAATGGGTTTTCAATAATATTACTCGTATTAGTTTTTGGAATTCATACTAAAGGATATTCTTCAAGAAAAAAAAAGAAAAACAAACAAAAATTTGATAAATCTGGCTCATTTTTTATTTTGCTCAATAACCTTTTGTGAAAATTCCTAAAAAGCCAATTTTTTGACAGCTCCTTTTTATTTACATGACGCCATTCCTTATTCACAGCGTTCTCAACAAAATTGGCTTCAAAAATTTAAAATCACAAAAATATCGCTAAATGATTTATTGAATGATTTTTTTCTGGCTTTAATTGATTGCACTGATTGTGATAATATATCTAATATGATCACTCACTGACGCTCCTGAGAGCTCTTCCAATTCGCCGAACCGGTATCCCACCAAAAAGCGTTCCTCCTCCGCATCAGAGCGGGGCACTCGTATATAATGTTCTTCAACTCCCCTTAGGACGGAAGCGCCGACAATTCCATCGCCGCAGTGTCAGTCGCCGTCCCCCATCTGGTCAATTCGCTGGCCACCTCATTCCCCTTAACATTACTATATCCTGAAACCCAGCACAAGGTCACCCCACATAGCCCGCACAAGGCCCTCAAGGCTGCCCTCAACCGCAAAAACAATTTAGATTTGACAGTGCACGAATCCAGCGACGTGATATCTACGTTAATGATGACCGCTGCAGCTAATACTTTGCTCGCTACCGCCATCAACAGAATATATTTTCATTCCAAGTGTATAACATGACATATTCATATTCTAATGCCTTAGAAAATTTTATGATCTCGAGAAGTGAATAATTTTTTGATATCTAATTTTGTCAGGAAAATTTTTGAAGGAACTGGTTATTTATAATATTTTTTAAAGATTTTTTTTTAAAATTACTGAAAAATTAGGTTTTTTATTGCTTAAAATTTTAAGTAATACTGCACTCATAACTTTTTATGTCAAAAATGTAGTTATCATGCTCTGATAGAGAACCCTAGAGATATGTATGTAATATCTATGTATATCTCATTTTTGTATTCCAAATATGTTGATTGTTGAATGAATCTTTTTGTTTGTCTCAATTATTTTAGTTTATAAATTTTTAATATTTTTTTTTAAAACACTTTACTCATCACAAAAATAAGTTTCAAAAATAACAATATTGCTAATGATGTTATTAAAAAGAAATGTCATCACAAAAATGCTAAATTTTTTTAGCGGTAAAAATTCCTTTTGGCGATAAATTTTTGGAAAATCTAAAAATGGGACCCCATATTTTTTCAATTTTAGTCAGAATATTTTCTTTGTATTAAGCCTAAGCATAGTCGATATATTGTGCATACATATTTGCACATACAATCTTCATAATGAATATCTGCTTAAACATTAATTAAAATTCTTTATTTTTCAATTTTTTGATCTTCAATCTCGTAATTAAATTTGTAAACGTTATCAAATATCTATGACTAATATCTACATACATACATACATATATTTAAATAAATATGACTTGTAAATGTCATTATAATAACTTATATCGATGTCCTTCACACATTCAAATTAAATTCGTGTACCTTACTAAAAAATAAAAGTCAATGCGTCAAATAAGAAACGGATAAACTGCTAAAAATTTAAATTACATTAAAATTGTTGTGTAACGATATACTGAATTTTTAAATAACAATGGACATTCATAATTTGATTGAATTGGGTATTCCAGAGAAAGTAAGTTTAATAAAAAAAAGTTCTTAAAAAATCGAATACCTACCCTATTTTTTTGGAAAATTGCAGGTAATTGCAAAAAAATTCATCGACGAGTATCTTAATCCTACTGAAAATATACATGAAGCATTATCTGTATTTATAAGCTTTTTGATCAATATAAGTACAGGAAATAAGACCAAATTAACAAGATATGATATCAATTTAATTGAGAATTTAAATTTTAAAAATATTTTCAATGGTCTCAAACCTCATGAATTGGAAAATTTACTGAATTCCAAGGAATATGATAACATTGTACTTGAAATGTTAACATATATGGGCACAAAGAATTATACAAAAACTTTTCAAAAATTTTTTAATAAAATCATGACATTTTTAAAAGCGATGCAGCAGTCTGACATCAAAGGATTAATTGATTTGTCTACTTTTTTTAGTAAGTTTATAATATTAAGATTTTTTTTTAAATTAAGTTTTGCGTATTTGGAGGTATAACTTTTATAAAAGGAATTTTTGAAAATTTTTGCATCGTAAGTAAAGTGGAAGAAAAATGGCTGGATATTTGTGGGGAATACATGTCATTGGCTTATACAGGATTTCTGTAATTGTGCAATAAATAAAATTGATTAGATAACTATTTTTATGGTTTCAGATCACCTTATTTTGGATTCTATGCTTTAGATCGGGTATGCAACGTTCATGAATTCAGTCTGAAAATATTTAAACGTGATCAGGATTTTTTTATAAATTTCATTATGGGTCTAAAATTTAAGGTTTTAAAATCCTTAAATAAGACCCTGAATTTTATTACCGTAATTTTTAATTTGTTTTAGGTAACCAAAATGTGTTCAAGAGTCTTAAACTGCTTAATAGTAATTTTGTCAAAAACAATTAATGCAAGTGAAAGTGATATCAAAAGTTTTAAAGAAAAGTTGTTGGAAAATTTTGATTTAATTTTCCACTTATTTATACAAAATGAAAGCCCGAAAATTGTAAAACTCTATATTAAATTGTTTAAAATTTTAAAATTTGATTTCCATTTGACAGAACCACAGAAGTTGGAATTTTTTATAAAAGTAACCAAATTTGATAAGCCAACAGAACTAGGAATATATTTTATAGATTTTATGAAAAGTGAAAATTTAAGCGAAAAAGAAATATTTTTTTATGTTTTATTGTCTTCTACAAAAAAAAATATTAAAAACTTATTTAATGTAGCAAACCTATTTTGGAATAATTTTGTATTTATTAAGGATTTAAACTCCTTTTTAACTTATTTTGGAAAATTGAAGAAGGACTTGTTGATCTATTTTTCCTGGTTTACTGTGTCACTTGTGGAGTTCTTACACAGAAATAGATCTAATGAGGAATTGCAGTTGATATTGAAATTAATTCCAGCAATACTAAGAAATCAAAAAGATATGAAAAATTTGCATATAGTAAACGTCTTATTGGAAATGTTCGGAAAAATTGATATAAAATACTATATATTTCGAGAAGAGAATAATAATTTTGTAAATAGTGATTTTCAGGTCGTAAAATATTAGATTAAATATTTTGATTTTTAGAATTTTGATAATTTATTGAAAGAGATTATTGATTTAAGCCCACACAACATATTTTTTGAAGACACATTTAAGAGAGAATCTTATATCAAAAAAGTTTTCGACATCATCGATAAATTCTATGTTTCTGATATTGCAAAATCAACAATTGTCACCTTCGTAAATGATATAAATTCTAAACTAATTCACATTTTTAAAAAAGAGGTAAGAAATTCAGTAATTTTTTGTGAATATGTATAATGGCGCAGCAAGAGTTTTCCAGTAGATATTGGTATTGAAACAATGAAATTTTAATCATTTAAATTTAAGCTTCTCTTTCTTTATAGTAACTTGAAGCATGTAAACAACTGTTTAAATGTGACATTCAAGAGTTTTTGATCGTTTTTTTTATGTTTATACTAAATAGTTTTTAAAAATTTAATGTAATATTTTGTAAAATATTAGATTAATATTAAAATAATTTGAAAAATGATTTGTAAGAAAAGAAGAGAAGCAAAAAATGAGACATTAAATTTTTTTTTGAATTACACCGGTTTTGTTCTCTACTGTATATAATATGTACATTATTTTTGTTTGCAGGCAAGCGAAATAACTAATAAAATTATTAGAGAGTTTTTGGCAAGTAATGTGGAAATTGGAGAAGCAATTTTTCACTCTTTTGGTGTTGAAAATTTAAAGATCGAAGACTTGCTCGCACTACAGTTTGGTGAATTTAAAGCTGAAGGAATTCTAACTGCAGTATTTTTAAATGGCAAAAATTACGATATTGGTATTTTCAACAATTAAATATTATTTTGCAATATACATACATATGCGTTATGATCCCAAGTTCATAATAATTATTCTTAAGTTTTCTTTTAAAAAACATAAGAAATTATTTATTGATATATGAATTTATTAAAAATAACGTTCGCGCTAAAACTAAAATTTAAAAAAAATTATGTTCAGCAAAAAAATTTCATTATTTGATTACATTATCAACGGTTTTTAGGGGCATACACCATTAAACTGTATTGTGATTGCGTTTGTTTATTAAAACAAAGTTATGAAGTGGGCGATCTCAAAATAGAAAATATGGAAAGCAAATTGTATTCACTTGTAGTAACTTTAATCGAATATTTAATAACAAAAGCTTATGATGTGAAAAATGTCGATTTTATATTTAAGGTAAAAAATATTTTCTCCTTCTAAGCTAACAATTTTATATTTCTTTAGTCAGTTTACGTGTTTTCAAAGTTCTTGCCAATATTATATGAATATAAGGATAAAATGGACATTCAACAATTGACGTATTACTACAACCATACTGCAGAGACAGTTTTTCTTTTCGCTTTCAATAATGAGGCAGTTTGGGGTATGTACTTTGATTTCATACTTTTTGAAACGAATAAATTTAAAGAATATTAATAATTTTTTAATTTAGAAGATTTAGATAAAGAACTAAAAACAAAACTATTGCTAAAATTTTTTATATATATGCATAATTCTACATCTCGATTAACCAAAATATCAAATTCAAAATCGATTTGCAAGATTTTAATGCTAACTGGTGCAGTAAGTATCTTTAAGGACTATGCCAAACATATTAATGGTTCAAAAAAGCAATAAATAATTTAAAAGAAAATACCTTTCAGGAACATTCTTACAACAATGAATTATATAATTTAGTAGAAGTGTTATTAGAAAACCTTAAAGATGAATTTATAAATATTTATGTAAATATATTATTTAACATTGATTTAAGTCCCACTGAACCGCTGTATGTTCTGGCTATTGATAATATTCGTAAGATATATAAAGAGAAATTTCCTGTAAAAGATTCAATAGCTAAAAGCGAAACCACATTTTTGAGTATCGATGCAGCCGTATTTTTTACGTTATTAGAAAAAATACAATTTAATTTGGAACGTAGATCAAACAATAAAGATGTTAACTCTTCTAATACTCTCGGAAATGTTTTGAAATGCTTGGATTTTTTTGATGAACAACGTTTAGAATTTTCAAATGTGTCAACAGAAATTAAAACCATGTTGTAAGCAAAATAAAATAATTATTACAATTCAAAATATATTGAACACAAGCATAATTAATGAAATTGTCATCATCTTGTTGTGTATATTATAAAAATATGTAATTATATATTCTCTCTTCTAGGATCAAAGAAATTTTCAACCTTAATTCAAATTTTATTCATTTAATGAATACAGATGAAAAACTAATTTTGAAAAATTTTCGAATGAAATTTAAAAATGTTTTATGATTAAATCAAAGTTTATCAGAAAGACACAGGAGTTGTGTGCCTAGCAAATACTTTCGTTATCCTCAGAGGCGTCTACATTGGTTTTTAAAAAACATATATTGTAGATTTTTGTAATTTTTGTTTAGTTTTTTAAATGAAATAAAAAGGAGATGCGCATAACACATATTACATCTTTTTTAATTACACTTACATTTTTTTTTAATTCCACTTGGTTGGTTGGTTGGTTAGAGTGGCCGGTGCGACCCGACTGGCCAACACCCCAATTAGCACCGACGTGCCGTTTTGCTACCACCGCCTCGTGAAACCCGGTTGTCAAAGTACGTTGGTCCAGGGCCAGCGATCAGAGCCACCCCGTTCTTTTAAGGAACTTATTTACGTCCCCGATACTTTTATTAGAAATGTTCCCCAGTTCCATTATGTCCGTTTCCCCAAATGACAACAACCTGGCCCTTTGAAGAGCCGGACACTCGCAGAGATAGTGAAAAAGCGTCTCTTTTTTGTCTATCTCCCGACAACTGCGGCATGACGTATTAAAGGGAATTCCCAGCCTAGCTGCATGATCCCCCACAGGCCAATGCCCCGTGTACACAGCCACTAACTTGGCTATGTCCGATCGAGGCATCGCCAGGAGGCTCATTGATTTCTTATGGTCGTATTTCGGCCACGTCTTCCTAGCCGTTGCACATGTGCTCAGGCCCCTCCACCTGCGGTCCGCACATGCCACTTGGAAGCGGTATATATCAGTTTTGATGGTGTTTATAGGGACAAGAACTCGCTCGGCCCTGGAGCCGTCCAATGCCGACCCACATCTGGCCAGCTCGTCAGCCCGCTCGTTTCCTGGTATGTTCCTATGTCCCGGAACCCAGAGTAAGGTGATACTATGATGACTGCACAATCTCGTCAGCTCATCGTAGCAAAGCCCTACCAACTTTGAGAATATCTTTAGCGAATTTAGAGCCAGAATCGCAGCCTGACTATCCGTCACAATTGCGACCTCCCGGGCCACAACCAAATCCCTTCCCAGGATTTCGCATGCCTTCCATATGGCGAATACTTCCGCCTGGAACACGCTTGATCCGTTGGGAAGGCGATATGACTCCGATATGTTCTGAGTCCCTGAAAATACTCCAGCACCGACCCCATTCCTATCCTTGGAACCGTCAGTGAAGAGAGCAACATCAAAGCCTTGCAGTGGAAGATTTCTTTTCCACTGCCCGCGAGACGGAAGCTCAACCCGAAACTTCTTGTCAAGCTCAAGTCTAGGGATGCAATAGTCTGTAGCATCCGCAACCACTCCGTCCGGTAGTGACTGAAGGACATTGCCGTGGCCATACGGCCTTTCGTGCCAGCACTCAGCTTCTCTGAGTCTAACGGCGCTTGCCGCGGCCAGATTCTTAATATGGATGTCTGGTGGAAGCAAATGGAGGAGTACATCCATAGCGTCCGTGGGCGTCGATCTCAATGCCCCCGTAATGCTTATGCATGCAGCCCTCTGTACCCTACCGATCTTGGTACAGTTGTAAGCTTTCCCCAACGCCGGCCACCACACGAGTGAACCGTAAGTTAATATAGGTCGTACAATGGCCGTGTATAACCATAAAACCATTCTAGGTTTCAGCCCCCACCTCCTGCCGACCATCTTTTTGCAGGTGTAAAGTGCCGTACAGGCCCTGTTCACCCTCTCTTGCACGTTAAGCTTCCAGTTAAGTTTAGAGTCGAGTATGACTCCCAAATACTTAACTGCCGGACTCAAACTGAGCCGCAAACCACCCAATCGGGGCAGTCCAAAGCTCGGGATTTTTGTCTTAGTCGTAAAAAGTACAAGTTCCGTCTTGGCTGGGTTCACTCCAAGGCCACATCTTTTAGCCCAAGAGCTCACCACATTTAGAGATCCTTCCAAAACCCCACTGATTGTTGGAAGGTCAAAGCCGGAAACCAGGATTACTAGGTCGTCAGCGTATGCCACTGCCTTCACTCGCCTTTCTTCAAGTTGCAGTAGAACCTCGTTCATAACAACAAGCCACAAAAGTGGCGAAATCACCCCACCTTGGGGCGTTCCCCTACTAATGTACCTTGCGACACTACTATCACCAAGATCCGAATACAGGATCCTGGTCCGCAGCATGGATAATATCCAGCGTACCAAAGCATCTTCCAACCCCAACTGAGTCAGAGAATTTTCTATGGCCCACGAACCAATATTGTTGAAAGCCCCTTCCACGTCTAGAAAGGCCGCCAACGTGTATTGCTTATAATGGATAGATTGTTCGATAGTCCTCACTACCTCGTGTAGTGCGGTGTCTGTGGACCTTCCCCCGCAATATGCATGCTGGGAAGGCGAAAGTCGAACTTCCTTCATTCTGTTCCTGAGCCCTAGCTCCAGAACGCGCTCCAGCGCTTTTAGAACGAAGGAAGTCAAACTAATTGGTCGAAAATCTTTGGCGCCCTCATGGCCCCTTCTTCCCGGTTTGGGAATGAAAACAACTTTTACACGTCTCCACGACTTGGGCACGTATCCAAGGATAAGACAACTTCTAAAAACTTTTAGAAGCCACGGAACTATTAGTTCCTTCGTCTTCTGTAACATAGCTGGAAATATCTCACCTATCCCCGCCGTTTTGTATGGAGAGAAGTTGTCTATCGCCCAGCTAACCTTCTCCACCGTTATAATAGCTTCAACCATTTCACTCAACACAGGCTGCCCCGGAAGGGAATCCAACTGGATAGCCTCCCGAGCCGACCCGGTATTACCCGGGAAATGCGTGTCCACTAGTAAATTGAGAGTTTCCATAGATGTTTTTGTCCATGTCCCACCCTCATCCTTCAGAAAAGAAGGACCGGTATGGTCCTTGGAAAGCACTCTGCTCAATCTGGCAGAATCCCTGGTACATTCTACAGTTCCGCAAAAATCCCTCCAACCCTGGCTTTTTGCGGAACGGATAGCCCTTTTATACTCTCTCAGGCACTCCTTATAAGGTTGCCAGAACCCATTCTTGTAGCAGATATTGAAGACATCCCTGGTAATCTTCCGGAAATTACTCAAATCTTCGTTCCACCACGGGGGATACTTTTTTTTTGAATATTTCAAAGGACAGGATGCTCTGAAAGCCACGCCCATGACTTTCTCAAATCTACTGATTTGCGCATCAAGTTCTTCGACTTCTTTAATATAGTTGTTAATATCGGGCATGACCATGAGCTTGGCCCGCACGATGGCTCTGAATTTAACCCAATCTGTTCTTTTAGGGTTCCTAAAAGGTTTGGGATTCCCAACTTCGAATCCCACCGTGAAGACTATCCAGGCATGGTCAGAATACGACCTTTTGCTAGATACCCTCCAGTCCTCGATTATACAGTTGTTAGTTTTGAGTGTTATATCTATCACATCTTCCCAGCCAGCAAACCTGTCTGTGCTAGGAAAAGTGAAGGTAGGGGTGTTGCCTCTATTTGCTATCTCTAGATTACTATCTAAGACAAAATTAAATAAAGACTCACCTCGTTCGTTGATCTCTGTGCTGCCCCAGAGGGTATGTCTGGCATTGGCGTCGCAACCCATAAGCAGACTTGCTCCTTCGGCTGCGCCAACCTCTGCTAGGTTTTGAACTTCCGGAGGTGGAGCAGGCCTATCATGAGCCATGTAGACTGAGCTCATTAATAGGTTCCCGCCGTTTCCTTCAATCCTCACCACCGTCATGTCTGCGGTACTGAAATTAGAGCAAAGAAAGGCTTTTATATGTTTTTTAGTTAAGACACAAGTTCTGATCTTACCTTCAGCTGGATCTACAATCCTGTAGAATAGGTTGTATTTCTGGGTGCCCAGTCCCTTTATCCTGTTACCGTTCACCCAAGGCTCCTGAATTAGAGCGATGTCGATGTCTTCCTCTTCTAGGAAGATCAATAGGTTATCCGAGGCTAATCTCGAATGCTTGAGATTAACCTGGATTACCCTCATCGCTCTTGCTCTTATCAGCCACCTCCATCTGTTCAAGGAGCTGGCTCGCTTCTTCTATGGCGTCCCCTTCTGGGTCCGCATTTCGAAATATTTTGAGCTTGGCATGCCGTATGCCAAACCGCAGTCTGTTGTCCCTCCTGTCCAACGGCTGTAGACTCTCCTCATTAATGAGAAGTAGGAAGGACTCACTGTTTTTCTGAGGTTCCTCCTTCTTGATAATTTGCCAATCATCCATCGGCACCTCAGGATTGGCAATCTTTAGGACCTTTAGCAACTTGTCCCTAGCAATATTCATCTTAGGGATCCAAATACGAGCCCGGGGTCTCCTAGGAATTTCCTTAGCTGGGATGAGCTCAATCTTGGACCCATCCCATGTATCGCTAATCTTAGCAACACACGAACTAAGAAAATCCCCGGAAAGCCGGTCCTCGCATTTGATCACCCTGTAGCCCCTGACTACCTCAGATGAATCGAAGCTCAGGACTTCGTTGCCATCGGTCGTTAGGAGATGTTCAACTACCATCTCCGATAATTTTGCTTCGACCTTGCACCATAATTCGGAGGACAACTTCAGGTTGGTAGACTTTCTGTCCACCACCACAAACTGGAGATGATCACGGACCACCTCGCTCATTGTTCTCCCCTGTGCATGATTTCCACTTGATGTTGAAGGTCTGGTTGTCCCTGGCTTGACGACCTTCGACCTTTTGCTCTCTTGAGCATTTCTTTCTTCATCTTGAGACCTTACTCTTTTTGTGGTCTCCTGAGGCTTCGTGCTCTTATACGCATTGTACTCGTCAATTACCTTCTGGTATTTGACTTTGTCCTCCGCGTCTTTTTCAGAAGTTTTACCTTCTGCTTCATTTTGGGCAATCTTGCCTAAAATGAAGATGGCCTTCGAATATCTCTTCTTGAGTACGAAGGCGGGTTCTTTTGATTTTCTGCTTTTGGAACTATGGCTGGTTC